ACAACAGGCCGGTGTTATCATCTATCTCAAAATGAATAAGGAGAATCTCTAGATAGGGTTATGCATGGTTTGATTCGTGGTAAATTAGAAATATTTCATTATTGATAATTGTAACAGCCTGTAAGAATAAATTTTTATGAATAATATCACCATCAAAAACAAAAAGTAACCAATAACTAATTTATGTTACTTTTGGCTTTAATGCTAATCAACTAGAGCTACAAACAAACAAAACACTGCAAAAGAACCCATTTGTTCGGAAGGGAAGATTCTTTGGCATACGTACTTTAAAATTTTGAAGTAGGCCCCGATCACTAAACACAGAGCTACAGTTAATCTCTTAAAAATTTATCTTTCAGTTTTATCAGTTTGAATATCATTGATATGCATTAAAAAAGGCTGAGTTCTGAAGGCCAAAGATCATAACGAGAAAATAAAGCAATACTGGGAATATAAGTAAATGAACTGTTTATATTAATAGCTGTTTTATTCTCTCTATGTGTAGCTAATCTGTCGTATTTGGGTGCGATTCCCTTAAGAATTAGTATAAAAATCGGTTAAATAAATAAACTATGAAATCAAAACAATTTTTGATGTTGCATATCAGCATACACTTGTATACTGCTATACAACTTCTCCTATTACAATTACATACCTAATAGGAGAGGGGTTTCTTTCTTCAAAGCCACCGGATGATGCCTCCATCAACAAACGTTTGTCTTCACCAATATAGCCGATTCTGTCTGCGAATCAGTTTTTGTCTTTCACCCATGTTTGCATATCGACTAATCCTGTACTTATGCTTTGTATATAAACTACGCACCTATAACGCATTATAAACCAACAATATAAATCAGTTTTAATCATCATAATTTTTCAGTCAGCATCTTACCATTGAAATTGTAGATACTGAAGTTGATCATGGAAATACTGAAATACTGGTGCTATGAAATCGACAAAAAAGGTTCTTTCATGATTTGTTCTAATAGGAGTCATTCTTTCGCATCTTGAAGAAAACCATGTGGTGATATGTTGTACAAGACGATGGAACCGCTTTAGATTTGGTGTGTTGCTGTCCTCCACAGCACGCGTCCAGACTAGGAGTGGTATTTGGTGAGCATCATTCAGCGCCAGACAATCGCGAATTAATGACATTTGAACAGTATACTGTGATAATGTCTTTAATTTTTGCTGATGGTCTAGGTTCATCTTGCTCTTGACAAATATCCTATAATGTGGTACAGTATTAATGATATTTTAGTATGCCAACAAACAACTGTAATGGTTATACGTACGAACAAATACGCTTCCGGAGAGGGAGCATGAGAAACGGCAACCACATCCAAGGAAGGCAGCAGGTGCGCAAATTACCCAATACCGACACGGAGAGGTAGTGACAATAAATAACAATGCAGGGCCATTATTAATTTAAATAATGAAAGCAAATGATGACGTTTATCGAATGTAGTTGGGATTTGAGAAGTGCGTGGTGTTTGGTACAAAATGTTTCCGTCACCAGATCCCGAGACAGACATAAGTGTAATTGTTGTCTTAATGCACTGAATACCAAATACGTTTAGTCTTGAAAATGTTGTCTTATTGCTATTGAGGTATTTTGAACGGTATGTGTTTAAAATTGCTGTTAAATTTTCCAACAGTTTCAACGAATCACCAAGAGTATGATCAACATTTTTCTCCAAGCCACCAGATGATGCCTCCATCAACAAACGTTCGTCTTGACCAGTATAGCCAAATCCGTCAGCGTATCCATTTTTGTCTTTTACCCATGTTTGCATATTAATTAATCCTGTACTTCTACTTTGTATATAAACTTCGCACCTATAACGCATTATAAACCAACAATATAAATCAGATTTAATTCTTGCAAGAATGGCAATGTATCTTTTATACATGTATTTTTTTTTTTTTTTTTGAAAAAAGAGCCAATAAGTTAGTGTTTCTTGAAAAAAACAAAAGTTGTTGTAGGCTTACCTTTTTAAAAAAAGAGAGATATGTTAAATGAAAAGAAAAAGAGAGAAAAAAAATATGTGTGAGCGAGTCTTATTTATAAACTGATAAACAAGAACTGGTTTAGTTCAGGATGATCTAATCAAAAAAGTATGTGAACGAAGTTTATTTGTGGGCTGATAAACAGGAGCTTATGTCAGAATGATTTGATTGTTTATATATAATCATGCAGCACATGTTTGGGCCTTTACCTACAATAAAAACATTTGCAAATACCCAAAGCAAGGTAGTTGTCTAGCAGCTTTTTTCTTAGACTTATGTGTAGACCGTCATGCGATTCTAAAAATTAGTTCGAAAAAAAAATACGGTGGTCTAGACATTTCCCTAAAAAAAGAAAGCGCAACACTGAAGAACTCAAAAAGCAAAAACTGGTAGACAGTGGTACCCTTCTTTACCATATCGTGAAGTATGTGGAAACAATTATGGAAGTACTTGACAAAAATGAGATGAAAGGGTTTTAATTGGTATGGATAATTGTAGTGTACACCACTCTAGATTTGTTGTCGACTCATTTGAGAAACGCGGAATATAAACCACTATTTATGTCATCCTACTCTCATTTCTTAAATCCCATCGAAGAGTGCTGGTTAAAAATCAAAAGTGGTATTAGAAGAAATCCTTTACGAAAATGTGATGAGTTGACAACAAACGACTGTTTGCAGTGGGTAATTAAGCTAAGCTAACGTCTTACAGAAATAAACTTATCTAAGAAGCGCTCCTTACAACTTTAACCCCTTTTACTTCAATTATTTTTTAATGATTATTATTTATAAACTAACATTCCTCAAAAGACTGTCCTCTGGTACTTCGACATAGCCCGTGTGCTCCTTTTGGAGCTGCTGTATTATTGCGTCTTGTTCTTGACAGATGTCCTATAATGTGGTACAGTATTAATGGTATTTTAGTATGCCAACAAACAACTGTAATGGTTATACGTACGAACAAATACGCTTTCGGAGAGGGAGCATGAGAAACGGCAACCACATCCAAGGAAGGCAGCAGGTGCGCAAATTACCCAATACCGACACGGAGAGGTAGTGACAATAAATAACAATGCAGGGCCATTATTAATTCAAATAATGAAAGCAAATGATGACGTTTATCGAATGTAGTTGGGATTTGAGAAGTGCGTGGTGTTTGGTACAAAATGTTTCCGTCACCAGGTGCCGAGACAGACATAAGTGTAATTGTTGTCTTAATGCACTGAATACCAAATACGTTTAGTCTTGAAAATGTTGTCTTATTGCTATTGAGGTATTTTGAACGGTATGTGTCTAAAATTGCTGTTAAATTTTCCATCAGTTTCAACGAATCACCAAGAGTATGATCAAAATTTTCCTCCAAACCACCAGATGAGGCCTCCATCAACAAACGTTCGTCTTGACCCGTATAACCAATTCCGTCAGCGTATCCGTTTTTGTCTTTTACCCATGTTTCCATATTAATTAATCCTGTACTTCTACTTTGTATATAAACTTCGCACCTATAACGCATTATAAACCAACAATATAAATCAGATTTAATTCTTGCAAGAATGGCAATGTATCTTTTATATATGTATTTTTTTTTTTTTTTTTGAAAAAAGAGCCAATAAGTTAGTGTTTCTTGAAAAAAACAAAAGTTGTTGTAGGCTTACCTTTTTAAAAAAAGAGAGATATGTTAAATGAAAAGAAAAAGAGAGAAAAAAAATATGTGTGAGCGAGTCTTATTTATAAACTGATAAACAAGAACTGGTTTAGTTCAGGATGATCTAATCAAAAAAGTATGTGAACGAAGTTTATTTGTGGGCTGATAAACAGGAGCTTATGTCAGAATGATTTGATTGTTTATATATAATCATGCAGCACATGTTTGGGCCTTTACCTACAATAAAAACATTTGCAAATACCCAAAGCAAGGTAGTTGTCTAGCAGCTTTTTTCTTAGACTTATGTGTAGACCATCACGCGATTTTAAAAATTAGTTTGAAAAAAATACGGTGGTCTAGACATTTCCCTAAAAAGAGAAAGCGCAACACTGAAGAACTCAAAAAGCAAAAACTGGTAGACAGTGGTACCCTTCTTTACCATATCGTGAAGTATGTGGAAACAATTATGGAAGTACTTGACAAAAATGAGATGAAAGGGTTTTAATTGGTATGGATAATTGTAGTGTACACCACTCTAGATTTGTTGTCGACTCATTTGAGAAACGCGGAATATAAACCACTATTTATGTCATCCTACTCTCATTTCTTAAATCTCATCGAAGAGTGCTGGTTAAAAATCAAAAGTGGTATTAGAAGAAATCCTTTACGAAAATGTGATGAGTTGACAACAAACGACTGTTTGCAGTGGGTAATTAAGCTAAGCTAACGTCTTACAGAAATAAACTTATCTAAGAAGCGCTCCTTACAACTTTAACCCCTTTTACTTCAATTATTTTTTAATGATTATTATTTATAAACTAACATTCCTCAAAAGACTGTCCTCTGGTACTTCGACATAGCCCGTGTGCTCCTTTTGGAGCTGCTGTATTATTGCGTCTTGTTCTTGACAGATGTCCTATAATGTGGTACAGTATTAATGGTATTTTAGTATGCCAACAAACAACTGTAATGGTTCTACGTACGAACAAATACGCTTCCGGAGAGGGAGCATGAGGAACGGCAACCACATCCAAGGAAGGCAGCAGGTGCGCAAATTACCCAATACCGACACGGAGAGGTAGTGACAATAAATGACAATGCAGGGCCATTATTAATTCAAATAATGAAAGCAAATGATGACGTTTATCGAATGTAGTTGGGATTTGAGAAGTGCGTGGTGTTTGGTACAAAATGTTTCCGTCACCAGGTGCCGAGACAGACATAAGTGTAATTGTTGTTTTAATGCACTGAATACCAAATACGTTTAGTCTTGAAAAGGTTGTCTTATTGCTATTGAGGTATTTTGAACGGTATGTGTTTAAAATTGCTGCTAAATTTTCCAACAGTTTCAACGAATTAATGGGCTTGAAGCTGACGTTCGCGCGCACATTTTGACCAAATAAAAAAAAATTCGTTAAAACAATATACACCATCGTCAAAACACCCTCACCAAGAGTATGATCAACATTTTCCTCCAAGCCACCAGATGATGCCTCCATCAACAAACGTTCGTCTTGGCCAGTATAACCAAATCCGTCAGCGTATCCATTTTTGTCTTTTACCCATGTTTGCATATTAATTAATCCTGTTCCTCTACTTTGTATATAAACTTCGCACCTATAACGCATTATAAACCAACAATATAAATCAGTTTCAATTATCGTAACTTTTCAATCAGCATCTTACCATTGAAATTGTAGATACTGGATTTGGTCATGGAAATATTGAAATACTGGTGCTATAAAATCGATAAAAAAAGTTCTTTCATGATTTGTTCTTACAGGAGTCATTCTTTTGCATCTTGAAGAAAACCATGTGGTGATGTGTTGAACAAGACAATCGAACCGCTTTTGGTTTGTTGTTTTACGGCCTTCCAGAGCACACATCCATACAAGGAGTGGTATTTCGTGAGCATTATTTAGCGCCAGACAATCGCTACACTGTAACTAGCAGGATTACACTGTGAATAGGTGTAATTGGACTCTAATTGGCTGTGGCTACACTGTAAATACCAGGGGCGAATCAATGACATTTGAACAGTATACTGTGATAATGCCTTTAATTTGTGCTGATGGTCTAGGTTGTCTTGCATAATTTGAGCATCCTCTTCACCGATTGTTTGGTTCGATTCAATGGCCATACGTACAAACGGTTTAAGTCGTTCAATGTCAGTGGATTTAAATTTCGGCCCAGAAAGTGTCGTGTTTTTGACCGGAGTTAAAATGCTGAAACATTGTTTTTTGTGAGCGAGGATCACTTGATCGCCTCCGTTCGCACGTTTTTCTATTTAGTAGTTATTTTAGCTTGTAGTAAAAAAAAAAGAAGTGGCCTTGTTCCATACCAGACAAATGGCTCTTTTTGTGGTGAACCTCAAACAACTCTTCTGTATCAAAGTATTCAATACAGTGTGGACAAGCAAAGGCAATATTTAAATTGTCTGGCTGAAAATGGAGTTAGTAACAATAAATTCTGAACGCGTGAATGAATCCTTACCTCAGTGTCTCCACGCGTTGCCTTAAAAAACACAATCCTATTAAAAATAAAAGATGTCATGACCCTTTTTCCTGGATTAATTGCGCAATTTATACTCACTCTTTTGTGCTTTTTCGTCGTTTATTAGAATGTTGTTCAATCTTGAAACCTAAAGTGATGATTAGATGAGTTTTTTTTTTGTTTGCCAGAAATCTTACCCTCAGAGTTTATTAAATGATCCCTCAGGTTTCCAGCGTCAGCAAAAGTATCATGCCATTGGTAGCATTAATGAATCAACTTAATAATTGTTACCATGTTTGCCGTTGGTGGTAAGGAGCGCTTTTCTTAGCTGAGCTTATTTTGTAAGGAACGTTTAGAAAACATAGTTAAAGTAAAATATAAGAGATAATTTACCGATGATGTCAACAGAAAGCAGTTCAAGATAAAGGATGCAAACTTCCATTTGAAGGGGAGAAGATCTTTATTAGATCACAACAATTTGCTGAAGAACTTGGGTCTCAATGACCACAAGAACTTTTGGATCGATCAAAACTTGATCCAGAAGTTTGAAAAGTCTGCGCAGGTAAACTATAAGTTTTAGAAACTAAATTATATATACATGTATTTTTTTTTCGCAAACCTCAGGAAAAGCAGGACATGAAGAGGGAAATCCCTCTTTTATCATCAGTTGTTCAGACAGATCAACCATCTTGTTATTCACAAGGAACTTGTTGGGGCATCCTTCAGCTGAGAGCTTGTTCTACATGCAATTTTAGAAAATAATTTACTGCGTATTTTATAAAAGATCGTACCTTCTCGGTCTCGGCCGACCTCTTTTTCTGCTGCTGCAGTTCCCCCAGCCAAGACCAACAAGCAAATATAATCACACCTATTTACAGTACAACACCTGCTATTCACAATCTGTCCTTCCAGTGACTTCCAAAACCCAAGGACTCAGCCTAGGAAGGGACTATCCTATAGCAAATACTAGCCGTAGCCGTAATATTGCAAGAATGGCAATGTATCTTTTATATTTTTTTTTTTTTTTTTTTTTTTTTTTTTGAAAAGAGAGCCAATAAGTTAGTGTTTCTTGAAAAAAAAAAAAAAGTTGTTGTATGCTTACCTTTTTAAAAAAAGAGAGATATGTTAAATGAAAAGAAAAAGAGAGAAAAAAATATGTGTGAGCGAGTCTTATTTATAAACTGATAAACAAGAACTGGTTTATGTCAGGATGATCTAATCAAAAAAGTATGTGAACGGAGTTTATTTGTGGGCTGATAAACAGGAGCTTATGTCAGAATGATTTGATTGTTTATATATAATCATGCAGCATCATGTTTGGGCCTTTACTTACAATAGAAACATTTGCAAATACCCAGAGCAAGGTAGTTGTCTATCAGCTTTTTCCTTAAATTTATGAGTAGACCATCATGCGATTCTAAAAAAAAAGCGTTTGAAAAAAATACGGTGGTCTAGACATTTCCCTTATTCTATAAGCGTCTTTAAATGAGCTAGCCACGTTTTGTTTTTTTACCTTGAAATAGTCGATTGAATTCTTGCAGTATCTATCAAGGAACTCCTGATTCACTGATAGCACGTTCTGAGGGATGCTTTGATCTGTTCCAAGGCATCTTGGTAATTACATATTGGACCATGCGTTACACCAAAGGTCTTGGCCATCAGCTTCTCATTATACCAATCTTTATCAGCCATATTTGAAAATGCTTCGTTAATTCTACGCTTGACACACTGCTCTCTGCTAAGTATAAATTTTAAATTGAATCCTTTAGGACTAGATTTTCGACACTACATCATCTTAGAGATAATACGATATGTGAAATAGTTTTGACAGTGAGTTCAAGCCTCCTTGTTGTATAGGGATTTTAACTACCTGAAGGCTTGATAAATTGTTCTTTTATGTCTCTACCGTGACTATAATACAACGTCCCTGTGTCGTATGGAAAGTATTATATATCCCGCTAAATGGGGGTTGTAAAAGGGTTTGATTTTATTATGTTTTAAGTTCTACAATTTTATATCTGATGATGTGAGCGGATATGGGGATAGGTATGAGGGAGGTGTCGTAAAAGGGAAATAGACTCAGATGAGGTTTCGAAACGTCGAGAGATTGTTAATTCGTACTTGTTCCTTCCCCTGTATAAGTGACTCATACTACCATACAACATCCTAAAATCTTGCTCGATCATTTCTTATAAAATTTGCTACACTTCCAAATGCGGTATGTAATCAACCATTTGTACAGCCCGACTTCGCAAGTCCAAAGTCTTTACTGCATTATCCAATTCTTGAAGTTGCTCTTTTGTCTGTAGTTGTTGATACTTTCCAGACAAATACTGAGAGGTTAAACCAGCAGAGGGGGCTACATCGTTTAAGGCTCCAAAGAACCTTTTCTTTTCTTGATGACAAAAAACGTTGTACTTGTTGATGGCACGAGTTTTTATTCAATTACGGTCCTCTGCATTTAAGCAACAACCTGAGCTCAGCTTCTTTACGTTCTTTTACTGCCGAGAGAACATTAGTAAGAATAGTTCTGTAAGTGTTGTTAGGTTTTCTTTGTTTTTGTTTTTTGTTAATATATCAGAAGCAATTATGTTGTGAAAAAAGAGTGTAAAGAATTGAAAAAAGGAGGCTGGATCAACTTTACGTGATGCATTGTTTAAAGAAAGTCACTCCCGCCTTGCAATTAAAGGTACAATCTGAGTGGCCACTCGGAGGTCTAAATGACTCGATTTTTTTTTTTAAACTGCAGAGATGAGGTGTATAAAATCGATCTTTGGGGGTTGTGGGGAGGGGGAGACGTTGTAACTTCGATTATGCCAAATTGGAATCAGCTCCCCTTGGAACTTTTAGTCAAGATCTTCGAATTCGCGGTGAAGGGCAATGAGAAACTTTGGGAACGTTTAAAGCAGTACCTGATCATTTCCAAGCCTTGGTCATTAGCTAGTCGAAGAGTTGTGTACGAAAAAGTTTACTTGCATGAAAGCAACTTCGAAGGATTTATTGAATACATGCTCAGATCCCCTAATGGCCAACTTGTCAAACAGCTTAAATGGAAGAACAGTGAGAAAGCCGATGAATTAGAATACAAACTCAGTCGAATCTTAAAAGCGTGCCCAAATCTGATCGACTTAGGATACAATACAACGCAACGCAGCCCTTTCTATGCAAAATTGCTATCTGAACATTATACAAGTAAAAATGGATTAAAGTTGATAAAGATCCCTGTAAGCAGTGACATATACAAAGTTGAAGAAAGTGAAGATAGTCTTCGAGCATATGGGTATGCAGTTTTGGCCTTTAACAAAACCTTGCAATGCCTTCGTATAAATGATTATCCTCCGGTTGAAGACAAATATGACCTGGACGAGACAGCGAATTCGTTGGGGGGATTTGAAAAGCTTCAGAGCATTGAATTCCATTTTGAAGTTCATGACAATCTATTCAAAATTGCCGCAAAGATACAAAATTGCCCGACAATTAAGTATTTAAAAATCTATACTTCTGAACTGGGCTATAATCTACAAGAATCTAACATGGTGGTGGAACCTTTCAACACACAACCTATTCCAAATATTATAGGATTATCAATAGGCAATTATATGAACATATGTACCAATTTCTTGAACTATGTTATGTATTCGTTCCCCAGTTTAAAAACATTGCATGTAAATGAAAGAGATGTAGGGGCTGTGGGTCCAGGGGGAATTTATATGACTGCGACCCTTATATTAGAAACACTGGGTTATCAGGTCACCACCGAACTTTGGATTCAATTTTTTACCTATATCAATACCCTAGAGAGCTGTGCTGTATCCAACATGTTTATTCAGGATCATAGAGAGGTCTTTGCAAATTTCCCCAATTTATGTGATCATCTAGAAATTAATTTTCGTACTGAACTCCTACAAGGGGTAATCAAACCTTATATTGGTGTTTTCAACAATTGCAGTGCCGACTACAACCTCACTGCCAAGAACGCAGATCCAAAAAAGACACGTCGAACTGTACTCACTCTACATCCAAGTATGGAAGGGGTCGATTCACATCTCGAATCTACTATTGACATATTTGGATCAACTCTAAAGGCCTTACATATTGACATAGGTAGCATTGCCGACACTCAACGTTCAGCAAATATGTTGTATTACGCTTCTGAACGCTGTCCAGTCTTGAATACATTGTGGATATCATCTGGATGGTTTTATGGCTTTGATCCAGAGTCTTTTACACCGATGCAATCTCTGAAGTGTATACAATTCAGAAATTGCTATTTTCAAGGCGACTTTCTGTATGAACTCTCTAGTCGGTTATCCACCGTAGTGGAATTCTTCTTATTTATTGATTGTGATCTCGCTAATTTTTCGAAGGGAACGTTTGTGATGATAGACATGCCGTTTGTGACGTTTGGTCATCTGCTCTGGAAAGATGGACATGCTGGAGCTACAAAACCGGTCTTTATAAAGATAACAAAAACACAGGCCAAGACTTTCTATTATAAAATAGATATCAATCTCGAGATAACTATATCTTCAAGTGAAAATTTCGATTCCTCTAGATACAACGATGAAGTATTAAGTCTACATATCCGTTGCTTTGATATCGATATCTTAATTTTGGTAGCTGATGAAACTGGATTTGCATTCGACATGACGCATCCATTCCAGCTTTTCGATGAATACGAGTATATGGATCGTTACCCTGAGTTTCAATACCTCATCGCCTATGCAGAGTCGGATTAAAATTCGATAACAGTTAGTTAATTATATAATAAAAATGATAAAAAATGAATTTGGATGGTTGTTGACAGTGGTTGTGTTAACAATAATGTTATTAAAAGCAGCGGCACCGCATAAATTTTGAACGGCATAGTGCTTCGCAGTTACTGAATTTTAGGATGAAAAATAAATGGCGAAAACTTCACTCTAAGCCAAAACAACGAGATTGAAGTAGATACTATTCGTTTCGCGTAGCTATTGAGCATATTAAGTGACAAGTAAAAGACCCCCACCTAAAATCACTTTGTTAACTTTTTTGCACCTCTTGCTAGCTTCCTTTTCGTGGAACTGTAGTATTGGTTTTTCAGGCATATTTTAAAAAGACCTTTCGCAAATGTGGCACCCAAAATTGAAAATGAGTTGGCTCTATCCGAGAGCACTTTTACTATAGGGGTGTCTCCCACAGGTGCCCAAACTTGGGTTTTTCTTAAGTCAGCGTTGAAACCAACCTCATCAATTAATATACAGTTGTTCATGTAATCCACACCCATTGCTATAGCTTCATCTACCCATTCTTTTCTCGCTTGTATTCTATCAGAGACATTTCTTTCCTCGGGCTCCAGCTTTACTCTTTTCAAGAAAATTCAAATATCAGACATGTACTGATACAGCGGTTTTTTTTTTTTTTTTTTTTTTTTGGAAAAAAATTAGCTCACTGAAGCTGCGGTTTAATCGGTCCCTTAGCTGATCAATTGTGGAGGTAGTCTGTTTAAATTTCAAACATACTTGTTGCCTCTGCTATCTCTCTCTCTGGTTCGATAGTTCTCGGCCGATCGATGGTCTTAAAAGTGAATCTGAATTTTCTTCCCAAGTTTTATACCAGCTACGGTTCTCGGTTTCAGTTTAAAACCTAAGGCATTGTTTTTTTTTGGTGATTTTTAATTTAATATACAGTACAAGCTTTAATATCGTTATTAACTGCAGCTCATTTAACTTTTTCGCTTGCCTCTTGCAATTTTTTTCTCCTCTTTTCTGTTTTTTCTTTAATGACTGGCACACTTGTTCCATTTTAAAATCACGCAGTGTGTTTCTGTAGGCTATCTATGTGAAGACTATACTCGGTATATCAAATCAACTCCCTCAGTTTGAAAAGGTCTTCGTCCTCGGAAATCTCCATCGGATTTTGTTCATTCTCATTTACTGTATTCCCTGAATCGTCCGCAAAATAAAATTGTAAAAATAAGAAATTTTCAAGTAATGATTAACAGTTTATTCTTTCATATTATGCGACAATTTTTTTTTTTTGGTAAGGCCCCCAATATGAATATTTCATTCAGAACCTGTTTTCGCCAAGCTTAAAACAGGGCAGCGCCTCCACAATGAATAACTGTTTTTAAAGTTTGCGCAATGTTCACTTTGTGTTACCCCATATGTAACTTTACAAGTTCCACAAAACAAAACATAATCCCAATTACTTCTTTTGCCGCCTTTGTATTTTCTTTTTATCGCTCTTTCTCTTTTTGTTACATTATGAATAAAGTGGAACAGGGAAAAGCTTTGGTGCCTATCATTGCTGGTACAACTGTGGCTTTATATATCTCTTACAAGATACTCCATTCCTTACTTCATAGTAAAAATAAGTTTAGCAAGGATATTCCAGCGCCTGGCTCTGCTTACCCTTATGTAGGCCATTTATTTTCTCTGGGAGATATGCCAGCTGAAACGGTTTCTCAATGGCATAAAGAACTGGGCCCAATTATCCAATTACGTATGGGAGTTCAAACATGGGTTTCCATCGATAGTCCTGCATTAGCCCACAAAGTAATGGTAACTAATGGTAGCAAGGCTTCACATAGAAACGAAAACGAGTTTGCCTATAATTTGTACAGTTTTGGAGGAAAGTAAGTAAAAACCAAAATCAAGGTCGCACAAGAGTCTAAATGATTTGGTATTTATTGTTGTATTTATTGTTATATTAGAGGCGTTGTTCATTCACAACCCAATGCTGCGTGGAAGAAAGTGAGAGCAGCAGGTAAGGGAAAAGAACAAAAAAACCAATCCCAATCTATCTAGAAAAGTTAAATTAAACTTATAAATGATATAGTTGCTGCGGCTATTGCACCTTCTCAAATCGAGCTTCACATGGCTTCTATCCAGAATGAAGCGAAAAAATTGGTGGATACACTTTTGGAAACATCCGAAAAGACGAACGTTGGTATCTTTCCGTTTAAAGATTTGCAGTTGTATGTTATGAACACTGTCACATTAATTGGATTTGGAAGGACATTTCCTGCTAAAGATGATCCAACGTTTATCGATGTATCTAGCACAATTGATGAAGGCTTTTTACTTAGTGGTGTAGAGTGTGACATGGCAAACTATTTACCAATTTTCACTATCCATAACTATCTTACAGGTATTCGAAAAGTTCTTATCAAGTATTTGGCAGAAAGACGTGATCCTGTTTTCGGTTCCTTGATCAAGGAAGCACACCATGCCGATGGACCAAATCTCGTAAAATATCTAAAAGAAAATGGTTACGATTTATCTGAAGAAGAAACTTTGGTTATCTTTTGTAAGTTGGGATTAAGCCGAAAAAAAATATATCAACATTAGCATCTGACACATCTTTTTTTTTTTTTTTGTTGGCTCAGCCGATTTAACTGGTGCAGGAACGGACACAAATTCCGTGTATTTATGTTGGACGATTGCCATCATGTGTAACTATCCAGAGGCCCAAAAAAGAATAGCTGCTGAAATCGATAATTTTGTCGAGCATCATGGTCGTCTTCCCCTTTTCAGTGAAAGGTTGGAGTTGCCTTTTTGTATCTCTGCCATGAAAGAATGTATGAGATATAAACCTATTACGGCATTCGGCATTCCTCATTTAGCTAATGAAGATAGTAAGTTGATATATGTTTACTTTACTTCTTATATCTTTTATCTAATTCTTCTGTATCTAGTTGAAGTTGATGGATATATCATTCCCAAAGGCGCTACTATTATCTCCAACATGGTCAGCATGCATAAAAACCCAGAATTCTATCCAGACAGGCCCGAAGAGTTTGTTCCTGAAAGGTTTATAAACGCACTAGGAACATCCGTAGCTGCTTCTAAAGGCAAAGTGGAAGACCGTGATCATTTCAACTTTGGATGGGGAAGGTAAGAGCTAATCATTCTTTGTCGAACATTGATAAAAAGCTGACAAAGCTTTTCTTTTTTTAAAAAAGACGTATTTGCCCTGCAATTCATATGGCTGAAGTGGAAACGTTTGTTGGATTTGTTGAATTAATGTCTCGCTGCTTTATTGAGCCTGGAGAGGATGGTATGCCTAACATAAACAAGGCAGAAAATGGGGGTATCGTTGTTTCACCGATACCTTACAAAGTCAAATTCACAAAACGCAAAAATTAAACTTTGAGGTCAATTTACAATAAATGCTTTAATATATTACAAAATCTAGCGTGATAGCATGAAGCGTTTGTCATCTTTATATACATCTATGGAAGTTCCACTTTTAAAGGTATAAATGTTGAAGAAGCCAATTGAAAAAATGATGGGAGTTTAAGTGACATATACATACTAAAGAAAGCGTAATCTGTTGAATACACTTAACTATAGTTTCGAAGAATACAGTTCCGAAAAATACAATTAAAAAGGACATATCATACTGATTGGTTAACTGATTCGCACTCTTGCAACTATTTTAATTCCTTAACAAGAAAAAAAGGTCCAATTAGATAATATAAACATATATTTATTTTAATAGTTTCATTTGATGTAAGTATACATGCTCTGTCTGTCAGTATTGGGTAGGCCAGAGATGTTATATACGTGGGCGACCAATATTTTTAAGTTTGCCGCAGGTAACTGAACAAGAAAACTTACCTTAATCACCATACCTCTGCGCTCCCATAGACCCAACCAATTTTATCAACTGAATAATTATATTTATATTGATATCGACTACCACAACACGGTATCCTTTGGTACGGATAACTTGATTTGACAGAAAACATGCCCTGTGACATCGTTTTTCATTGGCTAACAGCGTTAAATATGATTGGCTGCCGTATTGCTTGTTGAGGCACTATCAAAAAAAAAAAAAAAAAAAAAAAAATCTGTCATAATTTTTACTCTTCTTTATTTTCTTGCACGTACTTGGAAAAAAATTTTTTTTTGACATGGAGATACCAACAAGAAGCAGTGTGAAGAAAAAGAAAATGAAAAGGCAAATGACCTTACCAGCGCCTTATACAATACCCGAAACATTCACCAAAGTCAAACATTCAAAAGTTAGAACGAGATCGTCAGGTTCAAAGGAGATCACGTTTGACGAGCTTCCTACGTTTGAGGAAAGCACAAATGCCTGGGGTTTTCTGTATAAGGTTGGAGGCCAGGTCTTCACGTTATCGAGAAATATGGATCAGCCCGACTCCTCCGTTATCCCTGGATATGTCATTGGAACCAATGATCAATGTGATATCAAGTAAAGAATAATCGCGTTTCTCAAGTTTTCGATGTAACTCATTCTTTTTTCGTAGGACCGATTATTTTTCAGATAAGAGTTGTGGTATCAAGTAATTTACGCACATATTTGGATTACATCATGGATCTCTAACACAAAACAAAATTTAGAATTGCGTATTTTCCCGGTGAATACAAAAGACACGCTTTAATGCACAGTGTAAAGAAAAAGAGAGACATACATAAAAAAAAGACACATTGATTGAACTCCCGTTTTAGAGTCCTCGCATTGTCAAGAATAATTTGGTCTATGCAGCCTTCATCCAAGACCAAAGGTACAATCATTTGTTTTGCAAACAAAGAAGTCTGAATTTTTTTCTTACGCCCATATTTTACAGTTCATGTAGTACAGATGGCGTATGGGTGAACAGTGTCAATATTGGCAAAGACGTCGTCGAGTTAAAATCTGGTGACACCATTCATTTTAAAGACCCATCCAAGTTCACGAAAGCAACAGGTATAATATCGAGTGTTATATATATATAAACATACTAACATACATAGCAGAAAATCCAAGTTATGACTTTGTCAAGCCGAGAAGGAAAGGCAAGAAATTTTCTTCCTTTGATGAATTGTATCACAAATCCAAAAAACTCGGTACTGGTTCTTTCGGTATTGTTTCCCTGGCCATCTGCAAGACTACAGGCAAAAGAGTAGCGATTAAGCAAGTCCAACTCTCGGGTCACATTGATGCCCTAGAAACCAAAAAACGTATCGGTCTCCTGAGAGAAATTAGTATATTTATGGCTTTACCCCCTCATGTAAGTTTAAGTATACGTATTTTATTTATCCTCTTTCTAAATATCTTTTCTTAGCCTTGTATTATACGAGTGGATAAAGTGTTTGAAGAAGACTCGCGAATGTTTATCGTTATGGAATAGTAAGTTGTGTGTGCATGCGTGAAGCTTTTTTTTTTTTCCGTTTTAACAATTTTGTAGTGGATCTAGCGGCGATTTATTTACAAATGTGACGGAAGGACCAAGCGATGATTTTTCACCTATCCCCGAGATTTACAGTCTCTTTATGACCGAGCTTGAAATCAAAATCATATTTGAGCAAATTGCTCACGCCGTCCTGGTAAAAAAATAACACATGTTAAATCCCGTTCTTGACACTAAACCCTTTTCTGTAACAATCAGTACTTACATTCAAAAGGAATCGTACATCGAGATATCAAGATGGAAAATGTGATTGTGTGTGATCGTGAACGTTTATATGTGAAGCTGACAGACTTTGGACTTTGTGCCTTTTTAAAGAAAGATGAAGCATTGTATACGAACTGTGGTACCATGTTGTACGGTAAAGTCAAAAGGAATTTTTTAATATGCAGATTTTTATAAAAACTGAACTAACATATCTGCTTTAGCCGCTCCTGAATTGTTGAATTCAAATAGCAAGAAAGGGTATGGCATGGAAGTCGATATTTGGAGTTTAGGTGTACTTTTATACGGGGCATTGACCAACAGTATGCCATTCGTGAATATGGGTAAAATATGCTTTTTTTTTCTAGCAAAAAAGAACGAAACTAACGTTACTAGTTAATGGGGAGGATGACGAAAAGAAACAGCTGAGAGAGTTGATCGGCAAAGGACAATTTTCATTTGACCATCCTGCTTGGGATGGCATTTCTGAAGAAGGTAAAAAAAAAAAAAAAAAAAAAAAAAAAAAAAAGGATAGTTGTGCAATTATGGGAAAATACTGACAAAGGGATTATAGCAAAGGATCTGGTGTGTCAAATGATGCAAGTTGATGTTAACAAGAGATATACCATAAAACAAGTGCTGTTACATCCATGGCTTCAGGACATTGAAAATGAACAGACAAAAGAAATGGGCGTGACTCGAAACCCAGCATTGTTACAATACCTCGATAACAAACCTGTCTCCGCCTTGTTTTAAGCGAGACTAATTTATCAATCCATACCCACATTTTCCCCCAATAAATCAACTATTCCATTCTTGTTCTTCACTTGTGAAACCCGAGTAAATACCGTGAGGATTGTTACCATTTACATTAAAAACCTCTCTTCGTCCTTATATCGCATAAATTTCCTTAAACAGAGAGTTGTCGAAGAATTATATTGGATGATAGTTATATAAAACCTCTGATACACTCGTCTTTAGAATAATGAGTGACTTTTGTATTGGTATCACATCAACTAACAACACCATAGAAGCATACCCATTACTAGACAGGCACAGTTTGTATTTTAAAATTTAGTTTTATTACCAAATATAATCTCACGTTAAATCGCATCAAGCATCTCCATATTATTGTGTAAATAATCTCGCGCACAAACAACCTTGATTGTATCTTTAAGATAAAAAACAAAGCCATCGTCCGCCTTCATCACCTTTAAGGCCTCAATGTCGAAGCATCGGATGTGCATGGTCAATACTGTAGCATTATCTTTGGATTCATGAAAAATGGCAGACGAAGATGGTACCATCCTGAGTCTAGGAGATATTTTATAATAAAAAGATTTACCGTGATCTTTGCTGATCTTGAGGTACACTACTTTCGCATTCCCAGGTGAACTTTGTTTCCAAAGCAGACAGCCGATCGATAAGTAAGGCATATCAATCATCACAAACGATTCATGGGTATCTTCGCCGAAATTGCAGTCAATGAAAAGCAGGAAATCTATCTTGTTACCTAATCGACACGAAAGTTCGTAAAGAAAGTCATTTTTAAATGTGCAATCTTTAAAGCGTAGAATCTCCAGACAATCGTTCTCCACAAAAGGGTCAGAATCGATATCCGTAAACACTCCTTTCGTTATCCATAGTGTATTTAAGACGGAACATTGTTCCAAAGCATAACGTAGCATCCTCGTTTGAAGTCTATATCCAATAACAGCATCCATTTCAATGTGCAAAGCCTTTAAAGTCAACTGAAATGTTCTAGCAATCGATTCGAAATCCGCAATGGTTCCATTCACGATGGGATCAAGATAGATTAAAGTACGACGTATTTCGTTGTAATCTACTATGTGTCTGTCTTTAAGCACGTCTGGACCACCGGTAAACTTGAAAACACTAACATAAGGTTCGACTCGCACTCCAGCATTTTTATCGCGTCCATATAGGATCTCCAGACAGGTACAGAAAGTGGGAAACTTTGCAAAGACATCCAAATAATCCTTAATAAACATCGTGGATACCTTACACACTTCCACTGTATTCATGTAGTTAAAAAACTGGATCCAAAGCTCAGCGGTGACTTGATGACCTCGCTGTTGTAAATAAGGGATAGCTCTAGCAGGTATCTCGGTTTCACCCAAACGGCCTGGATCACTTTCGCCTATGGACAAATGGCATAATTGAGGGAATGAGTGCATGACATATTCCAAATGTCTACTATCGATGGCTATTTTTGCATTTTGTATAGACAGTCCACGGATATTTGGAAGAGGTTTTATGTTGAAAGGTTCCATCGGCATGCTAATTCTTTCTTGCATATTGGAAGTTAGTCTGCTTAGACCGATTGTTAAATGCCGAATTGTATGGCAGTTTTGCATTTTTGAGCCAAGTTTGTAGATATTGTCATGATTTTTAAAATTAAGTTGAAGGCTTGTAAGATTTTCAAATCCTTCTAACTGATTTGCTGTTTCGTTTATAATAAGTTCACCCTTAACCTTGGGCCAGTCATACACTTGAAGATGTTGCAATGATTTTTTTAAGGCAAGTGCCAGATAACCGTATGTTCGAACCGCGTTATCAGTCGGATCAAATTGTGTAGGAATCTCCGTAAGTTTTAACCCCTTTTTACTCGTAAAATGCTCTGATAATAGCTTTGAAAGAATCGACTCGTTGGTTCTTATACGTATTCCTAGATTGGTGACGTTTGGGCATGCTTCTAGGAGTTGACCCAAGTTGGCTTCGATTATATCTTTATCTACCAAGCCTATCCAATGAATTGATTTGACAAATTGACCATTGCCGGGCTTGAGCATGCATTCAACAAATGCGTCGATATGGTCCATCTTTAAGCTCACGTTTGCGTAAACAATACTTCGGCTAGCTAATGACCAATGTTTCGAAATAAGCAGGAATTCAACAAAGCTGTCCGAAGGTGCCATATATTCGTATGTTGTAATATCAATAATTTTGATCAAAACCTCGAGTGGAAGCTCATTCCAGTTTGCCATTATTTAAGATGTATATTTTTTGTATTCAAGATGTATAGTTTTTGGAGTTCAAGAATATAATTTTTGACAAGTGCTACATAAACTATGGACCTATAATGTAGATTGCTTTTTTGTAACTATAGGAGTTCTGTAATTTGCCAGCGGAAAAAGGTAGCATCGATCTCAAAAACTGTATAGATACAAAACCTATGTTACACTCGTTTTAAGGATGATGAGTGGCTTGCGCATCGCTAAAAAAAGTCATATTCATAACTAGACAGAGTTGGTTTGTATTTTAAAATTTAGTTTTATTATCAAATATAATCGCAAGTTATATCATGTTAAATATGTCGCTGTGGTTGTCAAAAATATTGTCTGAACCACACACCTCGATTGGATCCGTTAAATAAAAACCAAAATCACACCCCATCCTCTGCACCAATAAGCTCTCAATATCGAAGCATCGGATGTGTATGGTGAAGATACGATCATTATCTTTGGATTCATTAAAATGCACAGACGAAGATACAGTCATCTTACGACTAAGAGGTATTTTATAATAAGAAGATATACCCTGGTCTTTGGTGATTTTGATGAAAACTATTTCCTCACGCCTAGGGGGACCATGTTCCTTCCAAGCCAGACAGCCAAGCGATACGTAAGGCATATCAATCATCACAAACGATCCACGCGGTTCTTCGCCCAAAGTACAGTCCATAAAAACCAGGGCTTCTATTTTTTTAGGCAATCGACCAGAAAGTTCGTAAAGATATTCATCTTGAATCATGCATTCTTTAAAACGTAGACACCCCAAAGATTTGTTCACCACAAAAGGGCTAGAATCGAAATCAGAAAGCTTTCCATTTGTTATCCACAATGTGTTCAAGACGGAACAGTGTTCCAAAGCATAACACAGTATCCTTCTTTGAAGGTCATACCCAAAACTATCTTCCATTTCAATATGCAAGGCCTTTATAGTCGATTCGAGTATTCCAACAATCGATTCAAAATCCACACTGGCTCTATTCTCGTAGGGAGGAAGATAGATTAAGGTACGACGCGAGAAAATGTCTTCTGAGTGCATGTCTTTGATAATTTGTGTATCACCCCAATTGTTAAAAACGCTGATGTAAGGTTCAATTGGCACCACTTCGTCACGACCATATATGATTTCCAGACACTCACAGAAAGTGGGAAAATGAGCAAAGACATCCAAATAATCCTTGATAAACATGGTGGATACACTGTAGCTCTCCATTGCGTTCAGGTAGTTGAAGAATTTAATCCAAAGTTCAACAGAGACCTGTTGGCCTCTTTGTTGTAAATAAGGCATGACATCAACAGGTATAGCCATCTCACCTCCAGGACTTGAAGTATTTTCGGCTACCATTAAACGCTGCAATTTGGGGAATAAGTGCATAACATACTCCAGCAATCTACTATCGACGGGTACTTTTGCATCTAATATACATAGATCTTTGATATTCGGGAGAGGCTGTACGTTGAAAGATTCCATCAGCATGGTGGTAGTTCTCGCTTGCATATTAAAAGTCTGTGTGTTTGGATAGATCCTTAATTGTTCAATGGTTGGGCAATTTTGTATTTTTGAGCCAACTTGGAAGATTTTATCATGATCTTTAAAATGGAATTCAATGATTCTGAGGTTTTTAAATTTATCTAAACTATCTGCTGACTCATTTATAACATATTCACCCTCAACCTTGGGCCAATCATACACCTTAATATGTTCCAATGTCTTTTTTAAGGCACATGCCAGATATCCGTATGTTCGAACAGCATTTTCAGTTTCTTCAAAGCGTATCGGAATAAACCTTAGTTTTAATCCATTTTTACTCGTAAAATGCAATAATAACAGCTTTGAAAAAATCGACTCATTTGGTTGTGTCCATCCTAATCCTAAATCGATAACGTTTGGACATGCTGCTAGGAGTCGACCCAGGTTGGCCTCTAGAGTATCTTTATTTATTATGCAAGTCCAATATATGGTTTTGACAAATGCACCATTGCTGGACTTGAGCATGCATTTAAGAAATGCGTCGATATGGTCCATCTTTAACCTCACGTTTGCGTAGGCACTACTTCGGCTAGCTAATGACCAATGTTTCGAAATAAGCAGGTATTCCTTCAACGTCTTCCCACTAAACCAATATGGCGTTACTGCGAAAGCAAAGATTTTGATCAGTACCTCCAGTGGAAGTTCATTCCAATTTGCCATGATTATTGAAGTATATTTTTTGGATTCAAGATTGTGTCTTTTGACAAGTGGTAAAACATTATTTTAACCCGGAGTTCATAATTAGGACTGTTCCTTTTTATGTAAATGAGTTCTGGGAAAGGAAGCATCGATCTTAAAAGGTACATCAACCAACAAAAGTCATATTTATTAACAGACCGGGTTGGTTTATATTTTAAATTCTAGTTTTATTACCAAAGGGCAATCATAAGTTATAGCTCATTAAATATCTCGGTGTGTTGGTCTGAATAAACGCCTATAGGACCGACCTTGACTGGATCTGTAAAATCAAGTATAAAATTACTATTCATCTTGTTCATCATTAATGCCTTAATATCGAAGCACCGGATGTGCATGTTGAAGATCGTATCATTGTCTTTAGCTGCATAAAAATCCACAGACGAAGATACAGTCATCTCGGGTCCAGGAGACACTTTATAATAGGAGCACATACCATGATTTTTGGTGATCTTGAGGAACACTATTTTCTCATCCCTATCAATATAATGGTTTTTCCAAACCAGATAGCCAAGCATTGTGTAAGGCATATCAATTGTCACAAACGATTCATCCCAATCTTGGTCCAGAATGCAATCAATAAAAACCAGAATTTCGATTTTGTTACGCAATCGACCAGAAAGTTCGCAGAGAAAGTCATTTCGAAATACGCAATTTGTAAAGCGTAGATACTCTAGAGATTCGTTCTTCATAAAAGTGTTGGAACCGAAATGAGAAAACATGCCTTTTGATATCCACAATGTATTCAAGACGGGACAGTGTTCCAAAGCATAACATAGCATCTCTTGTTGTTGCCCATCTCTAGTAAAAGTATCCATTCCAATACGCAATGCCTTCAAAGTGTTTTCAAATATCCCAACAAGCGCTTTGAAATTTACACTGGTTCTATTCACATCGGGTGGAAGATAGACTAAAGTACGGCGTGAGGTGCTGTAATCTATGTGTCTGTCTTTAATGTAGTATGACTCATCAGAATTATTATAAACGCTGATGTAAGGCGCGATTCCCGACACTTGGTCACGACCATGTATGATTTCGAGACTGTCACAGAAAGTGGGAAAATGAGCAAAGACATTCAAATAATCCTTAATAAACATGGTGGATACACTACACGCCTCCAGTGTATTGAGGTAGTTAAAGAACTGAATCCAAAGTTCAACAGAGACCCGTTGACCTCTTTGTTGTAAATAAGGTATAGCAACAACAGGTATAGTCATCTCACCATCAGGCTGTGGCTCACCTTCAGCTATGGCTAAATAGCGTAATTTGGGGAATGAGCGCATAACAAATTCCAAAAATCCACTACCAATAGCTACTTTTGCATTGAATATACATAAATTATCGATGTTCGGAAGAGGGTGTATGGTGGAAGGTTCGATCGGCATGGTAGTTCTCGCTTGCATATTACAAGTCACTTGGCTTGGGAAGATCATTACATGTTTGATTGTCGGGCAATTTCGTATTTTTAAACCAACTTGGTAGATATTGTCATGATCTTTAAAATGGAAGCTAATGCGTTTGAGATTTTCAAATTCAACTAAACTATTTGCTGTCTCATCCATAAAACCTTCACCCAAAGCCCTGGGCCAATCGTACACCTGAACATGTTTCAACGTTTTTCTTAATGCATAAGCCAATTTTTTGTATGTTCGAACGCCATTGTCAGTTTCGTCAAAGTGTCTAGGAATATGCTTCAGTCTAAATCCATTTTTACTCGTACAATGCACTAATAACAGCTTGGTGAAAAACGACTCGTTTACAGCTTCCGCCATTCCTATTCCTAAATTGGTAACATTTGGACATGCTTCTAGGAGTCGATCTAAGTTGGCTTCTAGTATATCTGGATCTGGTATGTTATTCCATAACAAATGTTTGACAAATTGGCCATTGTTGGAACTAATCATGCTGTCAGCAAATGCGTCGAAATGGTCCATTCTTAACCTCACGTTTTTGAAGACAGCGACTCGGCTAGCGATTGACCAACGTCTCGAAATAAGTAGGTATTCTTTCGACCTTTCCCAGCGCACCCACCAAGAGTCTACTGTAAGTTCAAAGATTTTGATCAATACCTCCAGTGGAAGCTCATTCCAATTTGCCATAATTTAAGAAGTATATTTTTGAGATTCAGGATCATAATTTTTTGGCAGGTACTATTTTATACGAGGTCTATCCGGAGTTCATAAAAAGACTGGTTTTTTTTTTTTGTATCTAAAAGAGTTTTGTAATTTGCCAGTGAGTAAAGGCAGCGTTAATCTTAAAAGTTGCATAGATACAAAACTTATGTTACAGTAGTCGCTCGATTTAAGGGTGAGCAAAATTTCGGAAATCTCACCCTTAAATAGAAAATACCCTTAAATCGAAAAGCGTGACTATTTTAAACAGAAGTCACTACGCCATTTTTAACCGTGAAATATGATCATTACTGCGAAATATTTATTTTTATTCGGACATTCAATAAATTTGATCAAAAAGTTAGAAAAAAGTCAAAAATACACTATCAAATCGTTCGATTTAAGGGGAATTGTAATCTCATCCTTAAATAGAATAGTGGTTTAGTGGTGTTAATGCGGGGGACGGAAGCTGTTTTTCCAAAATCCACCCTTAAATAGAAAATAGCCTTAGATCGAGCGACTACTGTACACTCGTCTTTAAAATTATGACTTTGTTACGTATCACTATCAAAACCAACTCACAAAAGACATATTCAATACCAGACAGGTTTAGTTTATGTTTTGAATTCTAGTTTTATTACCAAAGGGCAATCATAAGTTATAGCGCGTTATATATCTCGCCGTGTTCGTGTAAATAAATGTCTGTACAACCGAACTTGACTGGATCTGTAAAATGAAGTACAAAATCACTACTGAGCGTGCTCATCATTATTTCCTTAATATCGAAGCATCGGATGTGCATGTTGAAGACCGTATCATTTTCTTTGGCTTCATCAAAATCCACAGACGAAGATACAGTCATATCGTGTTCAGGAGACACTTTATAATATGAACATATACCCTTGTTTTTGGTGATCTTGAGGAACACTATTTCCCCATGGTTCTCCGTAACAGAGTCTTTCCAAACCAGACAGCCAAACGATGTGTAAGGCATATCAATCGTCACAAACGATGAAGGCCATTCTTCCATCAAGAAGCAGTCATTAAAAACCAGAATGTCTATTGTATAAGACAATCGACTAGAAAGTTTGCAGAGAAAGTCATTTCGAAATATGCAATCTTTAAAGCGTAAACAATCTAAATAATTGTATGGCATAAAAGGGTCAGAGTCAACATCATCAAAGTGTCCCCTCGTTATCCACAATGTATTCAATTCTGGACAGTTTTCCAAAGCATAACATAGCATCTCTTTTTGGAGCATATACCCAAAAGTATCATCCATTTGAATATGCAATGCCCTTAAGTCCATTTCAAAAATTTTGACAATCGCTTTAAAATCTACATTGGCTCTATCCACGTTGGGAGCAAGATAGAATACAGTACGGCGCGAGTGGTAGTATTCTGCGTTGCTTTCTTTAAGAATTTGTGGTCCATCGGAATAGTTGAAAACGCTGATGTAAGGTTCAATTGGCACCCCTTGATCAAGACCATATATGATTTCCAGGCTGTCACAGAAAGTAGGAAAATGAGCAAAGACATCCAAATAATCCTTGATAAACATGCTGGATACACTGCACCTCATTGGTAAATTCAGGTAATTGAAGAACTTAATCCAAAGCTCCACAGAGACCTGTTGACCTCTTTGTTGTAAATAAGGTATAGCATCAACAGGTATAATCATCTCACATTCAGGCCATGGATGACTTATAGCTACAATTAAATCGCGTAATTTGGGGAATGCGCGCATAACATATTCCAAAAATCTCCTACCAATAGCTACATTTGCATTAACTATACATAACTTATGGATGTTGGGAAGAGGGTGTATGGTGGAAGGTTCGATCGGCATGGTAGTTCCCGCTTGCATATTTGAGGTCACTTCGTCTGGACTGATCCGTAAATGTCGAATTTTTGGGCAATTTTGGATCATTGCGCCGACTTGGCAGATATTGTCATGATCTTTGAAATTGAAATTAATGGTGTGGAGGTTTCCATATTCAGCTAAAGTATTTGCTGTCTCATCCATAGCACCTTCACCTATAACCATAGGCCAATCATACACCTGAAGATATTGCAACGTTTTTCTTAATTCATAAGCCAGTTTTCTGTATGCTCGTACACCATTGTCAGTTCTATCACAAAGACCCGGGATCTTCTTTAGAGCTAATCCGTTTCTACTCGCACAATGCACTAACAACAGCTTGGTAAAAATCGACCCGTTTACAATTTCCCTTTTTCCTATTCCTAAATCGGTAACATTTGGACATGCTTCTAGGAGTCGATCCAAGTTGGCTTCTAGTATATCGTAATCGGGTGTATCCATCCACGTGAAAGTCTTGACAAAACGACCATTGTTGGAACTAATCATGCTTTCAACAAATGCGTCGAAATGGTCCATTCTTAACCTCACGTTTTTGTAGACAGCGCTTTGGCTCGCAATTGACCAACGTCTCGAAATAAGTAGATATTCTTCCAACCTTTCCGCCTTCATTGAATATGAGTCTACTGTAATGTCAAAAATTTTGATCAACACCTCCAGTGGAAGCTCATTCCAATTTGGCATGATTAAAGAAGTATATTTTTAAGATCCAAGATCATAATATTTTGACAGGTACTATTATACGAGGTCTATCCGGAGTTCATAATAAAGACTGGTTTTTTGTATGTAAAAGACTTTAGTGATTTATCAGTTGGTAAAGGCAGCGTTAATTTTAAAAGTTGCATAGGTACAGCACCTATGTTACACTCGTCTTTAGATTATGAGTGTGTTACGTATCACAATCACAACCAACTAACAAAACCCATTCTCATTACAAGACAGGTTTGGTTTATATATATATATAAATATATTTATTACTAAAAAGATAATCATAAATTACAACATGTTGAATACCTCGCCGTGAGCGTCCATAAACACGTCTGCAGAACCCACCTTGATAGGATTTGTCAAGTAAAAAATAAAGTCAGCCTGCAACTTTTGCACCAGTAAGCTCTCAATATCGAAGCAACGGATGTGCATGGTGAAGACTTCATCATTGTCTTTGGATTCATTAAATTGAACAGCCGAAGATATAGTCATCTTGTATTCATGAGATATTTTATAGTAGGAACAAATACCCTGATCTTTGGTGATCTTGATGAACAATACATTCTCATTCCTATAGTCAGAAACGTCTTTCCAAGTCAGACATCCAAGCGATAGGTAAGGCATATCGATCATCACAAACGATTCATGGGATTCTCCACCCAAAGTACAGCCATTAAAAACCAGATATTCGATTTTGTTCGACAATCGACCCGAAAGTTCAAAGAGAAAGTCATTTTGAAATATACAATTTAAGAACCGTATACACTCCAGAGATTCGTTTTTCATAAAAGTGTTGGAATCGAAAGAAGAAAACACACCTTCTGTGATCCACAATGTATTTAATTCTGGACAATGTTCCAAAGCATAACATAGCATCCTTTTTTGAAGCCTATTTCCAATAGCAGGATCCATTTCAATATGTAAGGCCTTCAATGTTGATTCAAATAATCCAACAATCGCTTTGAAATCTACACTGGCTCCATTCACGGTGGGAGGAAGATAAAATAAAGTACGGCGTGAGGTGCTGTAATCTATGTGTCTGTCTTTAAGGAATTGTATATCATCGGAATTGTTGTAAACGCTGATGTAGGGCTCGATTCTCAACATTTGGTCACGACCAAATATGATTTCCAGACTATCACAGAAAGTGGGAAAATGAGCAAAGACATCCAAATAATCCTTAATAAACATGGTGGATACACTACACGCCTCCAGTATATTAAGGTAGTTAAAGAACTGAATCCAAAGATCGACAGAGACCTGTAGACCTCGCTGTTGTAGATAAAGTATAGCAGTAGCAGGTATAGTCATCTCACATATAGGTTCAGGTGTCTGTTCAGCTATGATTAAATACCGTGCTTTGGGGTATGAGTACATAACATGTCCCAATAATCTACTATCAATAGCTATCTTTGCATTGTATATATATAACCCATCGATGTTGGGAAAAGGCTGTACGCTGTAAGGGTCGATAGGCATGGTAGTTATCGCTTGCATATTACAGGTCAGTGAGCTTGGATAGATCGTTACATGTTTAATTGTCGGGCAATTTCGTATTTTTGAACCAACTTGGCAAATATTGTCATGATCTTTAAAATGGAAGCTAATGCTTTTGAGGTTTTCGAATTCAACTAAAGCATTTGCTGTCTCATTCATGACATATTCACCCTCAACCTTAGGCCAATCATACACCTTAATATGTTCCAATGTTTTTTTTAAGGCATATGCTAGATATCCATATGTTCGAACAGCATTTTCAGTTTCTCCAGAGTGGCTAGGAATCTCCTTTAGTTTTAATCCGTTTTTAGTCATACAATGCACTAATAACAGCTTGGCAAAAATCGACTCGTTTGGATCTCTCCATAATCCTATTCCCAGACTGGTAACGTTTGGACATGCTGCTATGAGTCGATCCAGGTTGGCTTCTAGTCTATCTGTATCTAATGTGCCCTTCCAATTTATAGTTTTGACAAATGGACCATTGTTGGGCTTGAGCATGCATTCAATAAATGCGTCGAAACGTTTCATATTTAAATTCACATTTTGGTAGACAGTGGTTCGGCTAGCTAATGACCAATGTTTCGAAATAAGCAGGTAATCTATTGCCTTTTTGTTACCTCCCCAAAATGGGTCTATTACAAACGTAAAGATTTTGATCAATACCTCCAGTGGAAGCTCATTCCAATTTGTCATGTTTAAAGAAGTATAATTTAAAGATTCAAGAACATAATTTTTGACAACCATTACGCTTACCCGGAGTTCATAATTAAGACTGGTTTTTTTTTTTTTTTTTTTTTTTTTGTATCTAAAAGGGGTTCTGTTGTCTTTTAGCGAGGGAAAGGTGACATCGATGTAAAAAATACATAAACAGACTATGCCACTCAACAAGTAGAAGAAAGACCAATAATTAGAAGTAAGAAAAAGAAAAAGTTTATTAAAAGATGTAAAAAAGTGCTTCACTCAGTTCCCAGCATAGAGTTGGTTAAACAGGTCAGACGACGGAAAGGTGGGGGTACTAAGCATTCTTACGTGTCATGAAATATTAAAGCCAAAAATTATATCCCAACCTAAGACTACAGGCATCAAACGGCAACGACCATCTCACCTGTCTTTTGGACTCGTTCCTGAAATTGAACCTTTTTCCACCTAAAGGGCTATCGTGCTAGTTTTGTAAGAAGTTCCTAAAACTAAGGCCTACTTACCCAAGTCAGAACGTAAGCAAATTGAAGCGATAAAGACCACACGGCTGCGAGCAAAAAAACGTTTTACTGCCTAGCGACTTTGACACACCAACAGACTCCCCTGATGTAAAGCTGTTTGGGAATAGTACGGCCTTTTGAACACTGCCCGATGTAATAAGTATTGAAGATTTATCGAAAATACATGACCCAGAAACTAAAGACCTCTCGCAGCACTTCAATCACTATTTTGGGGAACTGTCTAGAACTCCGTATTTTTCTCAAACGTATTTTTTTCAAACGTATTTTTTTCAAACATATTTTTTAGAATCACATGATGATCTACTGTCGTATCAGATATGGTTACACAACCAGCACACATATAATTAACTGAATCACTCAATTTATAATAAACATCTTTCATCTTAATTATCAAATATACTTATTGTGGCTCCCTTAATACACTACACGTCGATTGACATGCCATATCATCTAAACTTCATAGGATGATCGTTTTCTATTTTCCATAAAATATGCTTCACTATTATTACAAGCTACTACTGGAACGCAGATAGACAATTACTAAGCTCTGACTTACTTGGGAGGTTTTTGCAAGTGTTTTTATTTTAAGTAAAGGCTCAAACATCATGGATGATAAAATAGACAAATGAAGTCATCCTGACATAAGCTTGTTTATAGATGATAAAATAGACAAATGAAGTCATCCTGACATAAGCTTGTTTATCTATAAACAAAGCTGGTTCACACACTTTATTCTTCTCCTTTTCTTTTCCCTTAACATACCTCTTTTATCGTATGAAAGCAACCGATCACGTAAAAAGGTTTGTTTATTAGTGGCTCTTGTTTATTTGAAAAGAAGCTAAATTGAAAAAGATATATATATTGTGATATTGTGGCTGCGGCTAGTCTTTGCTATAGGAGGGCGACCTCAACAACGGGGAGCAAAAAGAGAAAGGTCAATAGCAAAGTAGCTGTCGTGAATGGTAGAGTGGGTACAAGATTATCTCATTTCATGAGCTATCTTAACAGCATGATGGACTGTTTAGATAGAAATGGATTACAAGGCTATTATCTTGTGATGGATAATGCACCAATCCACAAACCAATTGCAATAAGAGCTCTAATAGAATAAAGAGGCTGTAAGTGCGTTTAGTCGTTTGAATAAAATAAATTAATAACTTCTTTATTACCCCATAGTCATTCAAAACATGCCTCCTAAAAAAAGAAGAAACAATGAAATCACATCAGCCCTTACAGAGGTGTCTGATGAAAAAATCCTCCTCCAAGCCGCAGTAGATAAACAACGTTTGAGACAATTACGAAGTGAAGTACACGTAATAATGATAACCCTAAAAAAATTCTCGTTTGATCGTCTCTAAAATTACTCTTTAGGTCACCAGTGAGGAAAGCACTTTTGTTATAGAAAAGAAACGAAAAAAGAGAAATATTATAGAATGTAAGACTGTTGTAGTTTAAATTGTGTTTCTCCTTGGCCTCTGATATTGTTTACACGTAGTTTAATGGAAAATGACATTGATGGTTGTTCCATGACTGCAAAAAGAAATAAAGGAATTAAAAGAAATAAGTTACATCATCTAGATGATAATAACATCGTTGCTGTAGTAGCAAAATTAAAAGCAGTAAGTCAACAAAAAATCTTATACAAGCTCAGGATGTTATATTAACTGGAATGATAAAATCGGTTAGGTCAAAAATGAAAAGGGTTGAAAGCCGCTTTGGAGGCGTGCCTGTCAGTCACTGCTAGGACGGAGAAAGAGGAGTTAGTACTCCGTATCTACAAGTTTATGTAATTATGAAAGCTGTAAATATGAAGCACTTTATTAATTCTTTTTATATTTAGACTGCAGATGCATGTGGAAAAGCAAAGTGTCTTTTCTAAAGAGTACTGAAGTTTGTATTCAGAGTTTGATTTACAAGTTAAATTCTGGGGGTATGTTTTCAAGACTTACTTTGGAAATAGCCCTTCAATCTTACTGCACTGGTAATATCTGAAAATTCTGCCTACCAAAACACGTACTTTCCATTAACCATTGATTTATAGGGGCGACACGATGAGCAGTGCTTGTAAAAAGATGAATTTAAGATTCAAACTTGATCTGAGACTCTTGGTTTGGAAGGAAGACGCTGCCATTTTTGATGGTGGCACTGGGGAAGTTGCGAAAAAGGCAGCAACTGCTAAATTGTATTCCGACCGCCTGAAGTCAGTTATGGCCACTAAATGCCATTTGAATGAATTTATAACATCGGCTACATATTTAAAAGAAAGCATTGTAACAAAAGTAAGACTTCCAGTTGTACAAATCATGGGGCTCGATGCACATTTGTGTACAATGAGATTAAAAGGCAAAAAATCTTACGCCCTCGAGGAAGTTTGTGCGTTTCCCTTCCCTGTCTCTTTGTACGGAATCCGGTCTGGAGGTATTGAAAATCTGATCAATGGGCTATCAACAATAGAGGTAAGACACAGCTGAACCAACTCTACTTCTTTCTGTATCATTTATTTTAACCCTTTATATAAAAAGTATGGCTATCATCGATAGCATGCCCACTAACGTTTCGATTGAGGAAAGCTCGAGCAGAATGGTTAAAATCAGTATTGTATTGACTGATGTTCGGATTAAATGCCGGAAAAGTTGTTTTAAAAAGCAAATTTGCTAGACCAGTAAGACCTATGGCCAGGGATGACATCGAATCTCTTCCTTTGTAAGAATGTCCATTGCGAACAGATATGCACTCCGGATTGTAACACATACTGGTTCCATTTACTGGCTTTATTATAGTCTTTCCGTTTTCTTCGACTATTCGGTTCGGATGACTTGTTTCGAAAAGCAAAATAAGCATGTTTGCGACGTATTGTGTTCATTCGTAATACAAACAGAAGTGTAACGGCTATGAATTTTTGGTTTCCAATGTCCACCATTGTTAAAGATATTATAGATATAATAATAAAGCTAATTGTCACATCACATTAAGGATGGATAATAAATATAAAAGTTAATCATGAATCACACATTACTCCGCTTGTTCGCATCCTACCGTTGAAGTCTGTACACAGGGCACAACCCTGTGGCTAGTAAATATTTATTCTGCAAAAATCAATACAATCGAATGGGCCTGGACTATAGAATATTAATAGATCCTGAGCACAAATATTACTCTTGTCATTTGATGTTATAACTGTTGATCCCTCTGACTAATATTTATATACTCAATATGGAAGGGCTAAATTCAAAGACATGTTGATTATTTACTATCACCAGATTATCACATCATAATCCAATAAGGCGCTTAATATTTTCTCTAGAACTATCCCAGTTTATTTTAAAATAAGGCTCTTTTTGAATTTCTGTTTTTATGAATAACGCTGACATTATGTAAAGGGATGGTTTTTGAATACACCTTGGACTTGTTTTTATCCTTCTGTTTTTGCTTGTCCTTTTTGTATTTTTTGAGTTTTGCGTCTCTTTGTGGAGCCAGATGTACAGTAAGTAAAGTTTTTAAGAGGTTTGTAAATAGCTTATTGAAAAGGTTTTTGCTGCTCCACATATTCATAAAATTTGTAGAGAAGCTTGATAGAGCAATTAGCATTACATACACATCCAAGTGAGACGCATTTTCTTCATGGCGACCCAAAATATTGACAAAGACCTTATGTATTGGTTTTCTGTTCAATGTAGATGTTAGAGTACCCCCTTTGACCAAAATAAGTTGAATTTATCAATTGTAAATGACTCATATTAAACAAGTTTCGGTATTCCTTGTTGAAAAAATCAGAGTCCAGACAATTTCTTGATAATGGCGGTGCAACTCGATTTATTAGTAATTTCAGGTTTGAATTTAGGAGGTAATATAGATGATAATTCAGCGCCTTCTGATTTGACCAGTGAAATATCCGTATTGTTGGAGATGGCAAAAGTGTGATCATTCATCAACAGAAAAAGTTTAAAAAGTTGTATTCCATAGTTTGTAGTGTAGTCCGATACTTCCTCCATTGTTTGTTTGAGAATATCAACTATATGCTGCTGGATATCAGTCTCAATATCTTTGCGCTTTATTGAGTTGAAAGAAACGGTACAGACTCGAGTATGATTCTCATCCTTCTTTGGTAATAAAGGTACATCATCCGTGACTGAAGATACATCAGGTACATTAACAATAGGAATGACAGGAGATTCAACAACTTTTGTTTCTTTTAATTTTCCCTTGAATGTATGCTTGGTATCGGCCAATATACTATCAAAGTTATCGGCCACAAATTCTGTCCAGTAGAGAAAGTTTGGCTTCTTCTGGAGTTTCAAAAAAATTTCAATTGTCGTTGCTTGTAAGTTAGCCTTTTTTTTTTCCGCTTCTGTAACAAGTCCTCTTTCGACGCGGGAACTACTTAAGCATTCATTTTTAAGCGTATCAACATCAGTTTTAGCCTCTAGACATACAAGTATTTTTCTTGAAAGACGTATTCTCATCTCCTAGCGTAACGCTTCCATGAGATTTTTTGCCTCTTGGTCATGTGTATTTTTTTTTCGATAAGTTGTGAAGGATTGTCTTCAGTAAAATCCCTACGAGGCCCTTTTTCTTCCAGCTATTCGCCAAATAGGGGGTTTGTTTATAGAACCAGTTTCTTGGTTGAATTACGATTTCTGCGGTAACGCAAATGAACTTGGAGACATCAGCGTTGGTCCCGGGAAGAGTTATCTTTTCTTTTTAACAATTTTGTTGTAGGCCTTGAAATCTGTGTTGCTTTTTATAGCACATGAGAGCAATATCAGTTTAACATAAATGGAGAGAAGACGAATGTTTGACCACACTCTTATTTTTTAAAAAAAAATCAGTAATTCTTACATCATTAAAAAGATTATAAATTACTTGATAAATTGTGCCTGTAGTTCCAATCTATTTATCATGATTTTACATTCTATGCGAACTGATAACAATACACGCACGTAACGTATCGTTTAGGCTATCCCCAAATATTTCAACCTAAGGTTTAGATCAGCTGTGTCACGAACTTAAAGGACTAACTATTGAATAATAGCTCCTCCAATATTTGTTTTTTTGTAGTCATTACATTTCCGAGTCTTATAGGAATCCTTACGTGCACTTTGACTGTAAATAACTTCCTGTACATTCAAATGCCTCTTGTTAAAGAAGGACAAATCATATAACTTTGTATCTCAGACCTTTTTATTAGAACAATTCTACTATTGGATGATAGACTACGGTGGACCAGATGGACAGAATTACATATGCATTTTCCCTAAGTATCCACCGCCGGTCCTTTAAAGTTAGTATACTGCGAGAAAAAATGCAGACAAGTAGACCTACAGTCATTGTGACCTTAGTTACCACTAGGGGTATTCACATAGAGACCATCATGACGATGCTATCTACTTTCCATTCTTTAAGAAATACAAGGAATAGACAAGTCGCTGTGTACACATGGAAGACTGGTTTGACCGCTGACCCCCCGGAGTCCTAGTGCTTCCCTCTAAAGTAGCTATTCATAATGATGGTCATCAACAACTTCTTCAGAAGCCTTCCATTAACAACTTGTACATGACTCCCGGTGGTAATTTAATCTAAAAATTCTTTCACGTCATCCAATGACACTAAATACTCGACGAATTCAAGTCATAAAAAGCGCAGTTGTCATCTTTTTTTTTTTTCGGAAAAACGACCCATTTTTTCAGTAAAGTGACCAATTGATGGTGGAAGCACTGTACTTGCATGAACTGCTAGTTTTTTTTTTTTTTTATGTGGGGATTCATGGGCCCTGTGACGCCATTTCTCATTGGTCAGCCACATTGATTGGCTGCGATATTACTTGGCTTGGCACAAGCTAAATATAGCTCTATCCCGATTTCAATTTTTTTTATATATTCATTTTGACATCTCCCATGAAGTTACAGACAGCAAAGCTATTTTGGAAGGATCTGGTAATTTCGCCCAAAGAACTAAGATTAGACACTTTGCGTTGCGGACAGTCCTTTCGTTGGAAACAAGTCAATGGACACTGGTAAAAAAAAAAAAAAAAAAAAGAAGTGGCTTTATCCATAAAAACTTTTGTGTAAGTGGGACTTTTAACATAAAAAGGATAGGGCCTCTGTCTTACATGGAAGACTAGTTGTACTAAAAGAGACTCGTAAACTATATATACCTGTAGATGACACACACACACAAGGCTCACATTTTTTTTTTAAATTAAACAGCTGCAACGATATTGTATGGATACGATAAGGACCTGGATGAAAAAGCGATTTTGGAGATTCGAGATTATTTTCAACTTGACAAGGTGTCATTGGAAAAGTGTTATAAAGATTGGTCCAAGATAGACAGTAATTTCTCGAAAAAGTCCATTCATTTTGCCGGTATTCGTATACTGCGACAAGATCCCTGGGAAAATTTGATTTCGTTTATTTGTTCCAGTAACAACAATATCACCCGCATATCACAAATGGTTCGTTTTTTTTTTAAAAAAGCGGGGCATAAACACACATGCATACTAATTTATACACGATGCATTTTTTTTTTTGTTGGTTGGTATGACATAGATTGACAAACTGTGTAAAAGGTTCGGTAAGAAAGTAGGCACGCTAGATGAAACAGAATTTTACGATTTTCCAACCTTGGATCAGTTCGTGTCGCATGATCATACGGAATCAACGTTGAGGGAATTAGGGTTTGGTTACAGGGCAAAATATATTGCAAATACAGCTAAAATGATCAAATCGGATCATGCCCCATTGGGTGAATTATGGTTACATACCTTGCGATCCGTGACGTATCCTGAGGCAAAAGCCAGTTTAATGCAACTTCAAGGTGTTGGTCCTAAAGTCGCTGACTGCGTGGTATGCATATATATATATATATATAAAAAGGGATTGGCTATCTGGTTTATTCATTTTTTCTTTTTGACACATGAAAGTAGTGCCTGATGTCGTTGGATCATTCAGAGGCGATTCCCGTGGACACACATGTTTGGCAAATTGCACTAAGAGACTACGGCTTTAATAAACGTGGAAAGACCCTCACGAGTCAACTCTATATCCAGGTTGGGGATCATTTCCGTTCCTTATTTGGGAAATATGCCGGCTGGGCCCACTCGGTAAACTTTTTATATTCTTATATTGAGTCATTTACTTTTTTTTTTAATATTAACACCAACCTGATGACAGGTTTTATTCACTGCGGATCTCAAGAGCTTTTCACCACAAAAGAGAAAGTTAGAGGATGTCAAACTGGAAGAAAAAAGAGAGATTTTAAAAACCCCTTAAATTTGGGCTGAATAAAAATCATCATAGAAATGTTTCATGTTACATGCAACTTGCATGATAATAAATGGTGTAAGAAAATAATTTTATTAAGTTGATTAGATTTCCTCATCAAGGGGAAAAAAGGGTGTTGTAGTATATATATACAATTAAAATTAAGTAGTGATAGGATTAAGGGAATAAATATTATGATCTCTGACTGAGTTGTCTTGATAGTTTGCTTGTGTAATGTTTTAAGAGATCCTTGACTAAAGGGCGGAGCAAATCAGAAAATGTATGAAAATAGAAAAAAAAGAAAAAAAAAGCTTTCTTACCATGTTCTGAGCTGCTTGTTCTTCTGTGATGAGTGGGCCTCTCTTGATAACGATAGACAGCAGGAGGAGCAGTAGAAAAGGATACGGCCGTTCTTTGTTTATGGCAAGGCACAATTTGGTGGGGTTCCTCTCCCTTCTTTGCATACCAGGAGTCAAGGTTAGGAAGACTGTCATAGATCGAAGTGTTTGTTTTCACGGGTGTAGGCAACATGTTGTTATATAATAATAAAAGAGTAAAAGAAATAGAGTAAAAGAATAAAGAGAAGAAAAAAAGATGTTTTTGCCCATTTTTAAATATATATATATATTTTTTTTTTTTTGATCCAACGCAGACTTTATTTCCAAATTAGGACAATTCAACCAATGGAAACAGGTTTTGGCAATTAAAATAAATATTAAACAAACGTTATGGTAACACAGTTGTCAATGGTAACCACACAGACACCAAAAAAAGAAAAAAAGAAACTAGATCGAAACTCGTAATGTTTGCAATCTATTGATTATTTCAACTACAACAACAAAAATTATTTAAAAAAAAAAAAAAATTAACAACAAAATGTAGGAGAAATAATATGCATAGTCTTTCCCCCCTTCTTTTTCTTTTTATATATACAGGGGCAGAGAAAGTCTTTCTTTCATACAGACTATTTCTCATTTCTCTTTCTCTCTTTTTTGTTAAACAATTTTTTTTTAAAAATATGTTGAATGGCAAGCATATGATTTAATTTAACAAAAAGCATGGATATTAATTATCTTTTATTCGGAGTAGATCAACTCACTACACAATCAGCCAGTGGAGTAAAATAGTTTACCACAACGTTTTTTATTGATTGGATGAAATTTAATAGTTATTTTATTTTAGATCACAGTGATTCGTAAAAAACTCCAAGGCTATGTAGGATTTGCCAATTTACCCAACCAAGTTCATCGAAAGTCCGTAAAGACCGGTTTCCAATTCACATGCATGGTTGTTGGTAAAATAGATGAACATTTTTTATTTATTCATATCTGTTTATTTAATCATTATTATCTCAGGTGAGTCAGGTCTAGGAAAGTCTACTTTGGTAAACACCTTGTTCAATACCCAACTTTATCCTCCCAAAGAAAACAGAGATATTGCCAAGCATGCATCACAAACAGTTGAGATTAAATCCATCACGGCTGATATTGAAGAAAATGGGGTTAAATTAAAGCTGACTGTTGTTGATACACCTGGTTTTGGTGACTTTGTGAATAACGAAGAGAGGTATCTATACAGAAAAAAAAAATGATTCAAGGGTTGCTACCCCCCTCCTCCCTCCCTCCTTTTTACTTACTCGTCATTCATAGCTGGAAACCCATCTTGGATGATATCGAATCTCGTTGTGATGCCTATCTTGAACAAGAAAATCGTGTGAATCGTCGAAGAATGAATGATAATCGTATCCATGCCTGTCTCTACTTTATCGCACCCACAGGTCATGCCTTGAAACCTGTTGATATTGAATTCATGCGTAGACTTCATACGCGCGTTAATCTCATCCCCATCATTGCTAAAGCAGATACCATGACCCATGAGGAAGTGGTACTTTTTAAAGAGCGTATCTTGGCAGATATTCACTATCATCAAATTCAAATCTATCAGGCTCCTGTTTACGAATACGATGATCAAGAAACCATTGCTGAAAACACAGAAATCATGTCCAAAATACCCTTTGCGGTTGTGGGCTCTGATAAAGAATTTGAAATTGAGGGGGGTCGTCGTATTCGTGGTAGAATGTACCCTTGGGGTCTGATTGAGGTGGATAACGAAGACCATTGTGATTTTGTTAAACTCCGACAAATGTTAATCCGGTATGTTCAGTGTATCTGTGTCACCCTCAACTATGTCCTTACTTATCTTTATTGATATTTTTAGGACGCATATGGAGGAGTTGAAGGAATACACCAATGATGTCCTTTATGAGAATTATCGTACAGAGAAATTGACAGCTATGGGTATTCAACAAGATTCTTCTGTCTTTAAGGAAGTCAAGTAAGCATTTAAATGTAAAAAAAGAAAATCATGTGCTGAAAATAATATACTAGTCCTACACAAAAAATGGAGGATGAACGTATTGCACACGAACAAAAATTAACAAAGATGGAGTCTGAAATGAGAGCTGTCTTCCAAGCCAAGGTAACTGAAAAGGAAGCTAAATTGAAGCAATCTGAAGCAGAGGTAACAAAATGAGTTTTTTTATTTGTATATATGTGTGTTTTATGTATGTAAATGAAATATTAATTGTCTAAATCAATGCAGTTGTACGCTCGTCACAAGGAGATGAAGGATGCTCTTGATAAACAAAGATCCGATTTGGAAGAAAGAAAACGTCGTTTGGAATCTGGTAGACCCATGACACCTGAAAAGTCCAAGAAGAAGGGATTTTCATTCAACAAGTAATAATGATAAATGTCTATTTTTTTTTTTTTTTTTTTGGTGTGGTATACAAAAATGATGTTATTTGTGTGTGTGTGTGTGTGTGTGTGTGTGTGTGTGTGTGTGTGTGTGAGATAAATTTTTAATTGTTGTTTGTTAAAGTGACTTGTTCGGTTAATTTCATATTGCGGTCCAAGCGTTTTAATGAACGATCCATTTGACGTACTTGAGCCATTAAATCATCATAGGCACGACAAATCTCCTTGTCAATCTCTTCCCATTCAGCTTGTGGGTATATCAGAAACGCATTCTTTAATGATGTAAATACAATCTCCATTGACGCACGGTCCGCTTGTAAATCATCGAGGTTGTTCTGAAGTTGTTCTAATTCTTCGTATTGGCGTTGTACTTCTTTGGCTTGTCGGGTATTCATTTAAATGATGGGTAGAGGGGGAATAAGATGGATGTATATATATATAAAGAAAAAAAAAAGAAAAAAAGAAAAAGAGAATTGAACTCTTTATATATATATAGCTTTTTTTTTTATTGACCTCATCTTGACGAATCATCTAATAAGTAGTAACTTCCAAATTGGACTTTCTATCCGCCCTTTTAAAGAAATGTTACACACACACACACACAAAAAGAATGGACGAATAATTTTTCTGCATCTTTTTTTCTCTCTTTCGCTTATGTAATCTATTTGTCAAAAGCGATTATTCATGTCAGTCATCAGCAAAGAGATTCAAGACGACATTAAAGAAGCGTTTCCCCATCTTTTAAAAAGAGGTACACCTAACTATTGTTGCCAAGCTCCTCCTCACTAAACATACTTTTATGAAAAAGAGTATTACCAGTTTATGGATAGTGTCGACTTGGGTACAAAAATGGAAGCTTCTTGTGAGGAGTCAGCCTTCATTCGAAAGGAATGGAGGATCCCTTTTTGTAAGCTGAAACGGTTAGATTCTATTGACCGTGATTGGAGAGTGACGCCAAAACTACTGTTACATCATTTCCCGGAAATGTTACTCGAACCCATTTTAGAAGGGACTAAAGAAGACAGAGTTGGCGTGTGGCAAAACTGGAGCTCCTTTCCAATCATTAGCACCAATCCTATGCCTCGAATAGGGGAGGAGGAGCACGAACCACCACCATCGTCGTCGGCGCTTAAAGTACGCCACAGTAAAGTCTGTTTGGATAGACTTGCTTACTGGGAAGAATTGACTACACATAAATCATGTGAAAATACTAATCATAAGGTCGTAATGAACTATTCCTTCTTATTTAACAAAATCAATACTTCAACACCCTTACCAAATCGATATTCCTCCTTTTTACCGAAGACACACTTGGACGAGTTTAAAAAAATCCCTTTATTATTTGTGGAAAAGAATAAATTGAACCGTCCTTCTGAACTGGACAATCTCAGATTTCATTTCTAACTAACTCTCTTGGCGACTCACTAGATCTGATAAAAGTCTAGCAACACTAGCTCCATTCATACAATGTTCTTTCAAAAAACATATTAGCCTTCAAATATATATATATATATATATATGTCTTAGTTTACCTTGGCATTCCCAAAGTACTTGCGACCATAGCTCATTCATAGAAAATAAACTTCGATTTCCCAATATAATCAAGTGTCTTTTTTATATGGTTTAGCTTACTTGCCACATTGTTTTTTTAAAAAAAACAGTTTACCTTTTGGCTCGTGTCAAAGCGACATTGATACGAGGTTGGTTTTCCATAAACTGATTCTCACTGGTACGCACTGTAGACAATATAATCACATCCTTTTCTCCACCCTACACGTCTCTCTTTTGAATAAAAAAAGGGACATATTTTAACACACACAAAAAACGTACCTGAAATGAATCCACTGTTGAAATCTGAACACTTTTACACGCGTTCGAGTCCGTTGCACCTGATGTTAAAAACTCGGATAGTTTATCCACTTGTTCCTTGACTTTTTTTTTTGTAACAAAATTAATCTCTCCCCTTTTACAAAAAAAAAAAAAAAAAAAATTACTTACATAACGAAATGCAGCCTAAATCGGTGGCGGAAACACCTAATTGAATCAAGGATTGAATGATATGCGATGCAACGGCCACTTCGGTATCGTTCCAAAAAGATTTAGTCCGCATCGATCGTTGCTCCTTTTTTAATAAATGAAAAACCACGTCATTTTTTTTTAGAAGGGTCACACATTTTAAAAAAAAAAAAGAAAAGCTTACCGTGCCACCAATATCCACGAATAATAAAGTAGGTAATCCTTCTATTAAAGGTGCTCGGTCTTGTACACTCACGCCATTGATCAATCTTCGGTCGTAAAATAACTTGTTACTAATATTGGAAATTCGTGGATGACACTACATTAAAAAGCTCTTTGTTATACAAAATACATATATACCTCCCACCCACTCCTTTCTTCTTACTCTGTATTGTGTTCGTAACATGTAGGACTAAAAAAAATAAATAATGAATAACAAAAACGCTAAGTAACCTGAAAATACCCGAGAAAAATCGGCATCTTTTTTTTTCTTCTTAGTTTACCTCATGACCCATCTCTACCAATCTATCAAATAAGGTCTTATCCAATCCTTTACCCAGTTTTCCTTCTTCCGCCTGTGAGGTCAAGGTCGGGGGTAATTGCAAGGGATCACCAATCATAATGAACCGATGACAAGAAAATCTAGCTAACGGAACCATCGTCAAGGGTTCCATCAACTGCGAGGACTCATCTACCAAGACCAAAGGAAACTTGACATTGTTAAACACTTCAAACACCGACGACATAAAGGTCGTACCCACCACCTGCGTGGATTGAATATGTGAAATCCCTTGTTCCTTTCGAAACCGTTGCATCGCAACAGAGATATTCTCAATATCCTGTTCCGAATTTTGAGGATCTTCTAACATTTGTTCGAGTTCTTTTAGTTCGTCATTGCTATTGAGACGAGCCTTGGATGTAAACGGTAAAAGGTTCTTGGCAATCTTTTTCAAACTGCCGATTCGGATAAAATGATCATAGCCTAATTTCAGTAAGGTTTGTAAGATCCGATCCACGGCTACATTCTAACAAAATGATTCAATTTTGGTTAGTTCCTCTCCTCACTGCTGTTGTCGTGTGTCACGGCAAAACCCTTTTTTAGTATTACCGTCATGGAAGAGACCAAGATTCGGAATTGGATGGCTCCTTCAGGTTCTCGTTTTTCATTCACAGTATCCACTATATCCTGGATAAACATAATCATCACAGCCGCTAAAAAACTTTTTATTTATATTAAAATTATCAGTGTGATAAACAAACAAAAAAAATGCTTTTTTTTTATATATATATGTTGGTTACCTTTTCCCGGATCCGTATACGCCGTGCACGAGAACAATAGGATGCTCAGGCACATCGTTCCAACCCGGTGCTATAATCACGGATTTCGCTACATTTCGTAAAACCCTATTTTTTTTTTCCGGGTTCATCAGTATATATTTTACCCCCCTTCCCCCCTTTTTTCCACTGTGTATCACTCACCTTTCTTGATCCTCATTTAAATGATGCAAAGCCACAGTCTCACTCAACTTTCGTTCCACATCAATACCATCCTCTCTTTTAATTATAATACAATCCATCACTGGTAAAGGATCCTTTTTCTTCTTTCCTCCCGTATTTAAAATATACGGTAACAAGGGTAATCGATCCATTTTCTCTTCTAATGTTTCCAACATCATCAACTCGGTACTTGCAGAGACTGTACGTAAAGCATACACGCGTTGATTAGCCATACCCGTGGCTACTCTTACATCACGTGGAGAGAGACAATCCAAATCCAAGGTACCATCAGCAAACGGGCCAAAATAAGTACTCTTGGCTAAAAAAGTCTGACTGGATTCAAAGGTAGGTAAACGAGAAATGACCCAAAGATCTTCCTTATTGTATTTAGTGTAAACTTCACGGTTTTGTTTCATGACGAGTTTCACACGTTTATCAGAATCATGCCGTTGATCTCCCTTTAATTCACACAGAGCATAAAAACCAATACCTCGACTTCGCATGATACGTTCAAGGTCAGCGCCGGATTTTCCTTTACCAAATTTATCCAAGGTTGGATAAAAATAAGCCGCGTATTGTATCATCAGTATCTAAATTGTGGGGGGAGGGAGGTGCGTCAATAAATAAGAAGGCGGAAACTATGCATTGTTTCGGGAGATACTTTACATCAAGATGTTCATAAATAATCTTTTTAAAGGTGTCCTTGTAAAGTAAACACGTAGCAAATTTCGTAGGTACTACTTTGCTTCGTTTAGGATGTTTCTTGGATTTCAAAATGTGAAGAATTTTTCGGCTATTGGGAAATTGAAGTGCTACAACAGATCCATGACTTTTTTTTGTCCATATTAATCAATCACTTGTTTTTATATATATCCTATTGTCACTCTACTTACTTTCCCTCAGAGGCCAAAGATCTTTGTTCCACTTGTCCATTGGAGCTTGATGATGATTCCGAGTTCTCCACAGGCACCACTACTCTTGATGCAGGTGTAAAGGATCTAATATTTTTTTGCGAGATACGTTAAATAAAATATTGGAATGTGATAAAACAATACTACCCTTGAGGTCTTGTCGTAGATATATTATTCTGTTCTGCCATATTAGGCGGCACTGAATCCACTTCCATAGCGGAAGGTTCTATACGTGCAGATGCGTGAAGACTAGATGTCGTATGTTTGGATAATCCCATTCTCGATCTTTTGTTAGGTACATTAGATTCCTGCATACGTGATGGGATCGTCGCTGTCACAGGCGGACTTTCTTGTGGAACTGTCGTTTGTGGAATGGATGGGCTTTCGTTCCGTAAGTTGATTGTACTCGCTGATAAATTATAGGCTTCAGCATGCGTGGATTGATGAAGTGTTGAACTCGTTCGTTTGGATAATCCAAACGGGGCTCTCTTTTTTGGGATTGTAGTAGTAGTGGTGGTAGGAGGTAAGTGTATTCTTGTTGTAATGATCGGTTCTGGGGACTCTACTACGCTCGGTACGGGTTGTCTCACTAGGATTACCGGTCGATGTGCTTGTTGTGGTGGTGGTTGATGATAGGGTCGAGTTGACGTAGTCGAGGGTTCAGTTGATTCAAGGGCTTCTAACGTAACGAGATGACCGTCAAATACTAATTCATCACCGACTGCGGGCAAACCTGCTTTATAGAATTTTCTGTGGGGAGGGAGGATTAAGTAAGCAAGAAAATGGTGTCAATAGGAGACTTACTGGTCAATTTTATATCCTTTTTCATCAAACAGAGACAGCTAAAAAAGAAGAAAGTTTTGTTAGCGTGAGTTCAAACAAGGCAGATTTTTTATTTTATTTTGTGGGTGGTACCTTCTTGTTAAAACTAAAGTACTTCATATAACCTGTGGTAGGAAAAGAAGCAATGTTAGAAAAGAATGTCGGTCTACAATGGATAATGAACAAACCGTCTTGCCATGTCTTGTTCTTTTTTTGCTTCTGGGCAGTAAATAAGACAGTGAATTTCGTAATGGTTTCTGACATGTGTTGAATAAAAGAGTATTAGAATACTTTTTTTTTTTTTACTACGCTTAGAATAATTTTTTTTGGGAGAAGAGTAGCGTTGTTTCAATTGTGTGCCATTTTTTTTTTTTTTTAGGCCAACATTAGGTAGTAAAGATTAAACCATCACGTATATGTTTTATGAATAGACCTGAATTTCATGACTTGTATGCTACAACTAAAATTAGGCCTTAAGCTTGTGGGAGAGGACTGGGGAGCCAATAAAAACTTAATTTTTTTGAAAACTAGCCTGTAGATTTGCTTCAAATAGTGTAAGCGGCTTCCAAATATAGAGGATTAGCCAGGCAGCAATCGTATATCTGTCAAATACACATTGCGTAATAAGCGTTTGAATTGATAAACCACATACGCTACTTCAAGTAAGGTTAGATATCTGATTTGATTTATAATTTAAGTATATATTTGAACTGTTTCTTGTTCATATAAAAGGAGGAAAAGATCCACGACAACGGCCATTTGGGTGTCACAATGATATGGGTTCAAATGCAATGAGAATCAGATAAGTTATGAGCTGGAACTGAACACAATAATATTCTTTTTTCTTGTTTACCATACATTATAATTGAATATGTCAAACAATAGTATTAATTCTCAAAACATTACTGGAATTGCCACTAATATTAAAAGGGGGCGCCCAAATGGACAAATAAATAAAAATGGACACAATGCTGGTCGTAAACGTAAATAGATCGATAACCAATCCACCTTGTCCAATTTTTTTTGCTGAGTCTGCAGACGAAGTCGGACAATCTGAATCATCTACAAGCACCGAACAGGTATGAATCATGCAAATATTATGCTCTCAAAAATATTGTTAACATATAGGATTTTAAGCCCCAGTTTTATACAACTGGTATTAAAGACAATGCTATTCCTGTAAACACGGAGGAAGCCGAAGAAGAATTTGAAGAAGATTCTGATGACGAAACATTCGAAGAATTAGATGAGGGGACAATCAACGAAAATGGCAAATTTGCGTCTTCAATGCCCTCTGATATTGAAGTCTCCAAATATCACAACAATCTTCAGCAAAGATTGGGAGAGAACAACAAAAACAAGGGTCACCTTCCTGATGAGTATAAAAGAGGAACTTTTTGGACACAAACACGAAGCCCCTCATTTGCTTTGGCAAACAGTGTAGATCCATCAAAGTTGTATCACCCCAGAACATTTATTTGATACCTGATCACTTGCATGACAATCTGGTGTGTCCCTCCTGTGGATCTGATATTGAATTTAAAGAATTTGATAAAAAAACTAAAGCAAGAAGAATAATTGATTTAGAAGAGTATGTAATTATATGCCATGTTGTCTTTATTCAACGGCCAAAGATTATTAGATATTCATGCGTAACTTTGGAAAACTAATGCACTTTTTATAGCTGCTTCTACATTATGACACGACGTTACAGGTGTAAAAATTCGATCAAGCAGCATCATTTCAATAGGGGTAGATTCCAGGTTAATTAGACAGCTCCCGTTCCGAGTTCAATATGACTTTCCAGCTCTTTTAACACACAAACCTGGAAATTCAAAAGATTTGGTTAAACTAATGCGTCCATTATTCCGAAACTCTGTGGGTCCCGTGCGACTTTCAAACATTTTGAGAGAAATGCATGCTGGTCTCGAGTTACAGTGTTACGATGCAGCCTGTAATCTGAAGAAAAAACCCTGGCATCAATTCACTCTTGACGAGGGGTAACGCTAAAAAAATTATGTTTCCAGAGCTCTCTGAATTCTCTGACAAAAGATTGTATTTAATGGCTTTGTTCCTTCGCCAGGCTATCTGAGCTATATATACACGTCGATAATCGAGAAAATAAGGCCGCAATTGGATTGGCATATGATGTCCTTAAATGGTAGCATCCTTAAAGTCGACCATTCATTCAAAGTCACAGGCCATATGGGGAAACTAAAAGGAGAACCAACCTTCACAGCTTTGTATACTTGTTTAAACGAATACGAAGAAATAAGAATGCAGGTTTTGGCTCCTTCTAAGGCACTTTCTCACCTTGCTTCGCCTTTTAATGCCCTTGTAAAATCTTACACTCTTAACGGCTATCAGTTACCTTCGCTTTTTTACACGGACAATGTAAACAGTGACCGAGCTTTTTTGGAAGGTGTACTACCAAGCCTGTTAGATAATGTTCGCAAGACAAGTATTCAAAAGCCAGCAAACAGTGAAGAAACCTCAACTCCAGAACGCAACTCAGACTTACCTGTTTTGACACTTCCAGATACCCTGAATATATCCGTATTCTCCGTTCCAGAAGATATTGATAACGCATGTCAAAACATTTTGGATGGCCTAGAAACAAACAATTGTTTATACGTTGGTTTTGACTGTGAATGGATAGCACGAAACCATGGAGATTTTAATTCCAGATCAAGAGGAGCCCAAGCCTCTTTTTATGAAGTATCTCTAATCCAAATTTGCTACAAGGAACAAATTTATCTTTTTCGTACGTTTGAATTCACGATGGATGACTTTCCTAAAAAATTACAACATCTTTTGGAGTGTGGTGATGTGAAGAAGATTGGAAAAAAAATTTCTGGGGATTTTACACGTTTAAGGAGAGGATATCAGATAAACCCTGAAGGTATGATTGAGCTGTGCCCATTTCGCAAGGAAAAGGAGTCATAGAAAAAATGTCTTTCTCTTTGGCCAAAATTTGTGCAGTAGTTTTAAAGGTATCATTGCCTAAACCGACTGGCATCAGGTGTGGAAACTGGAATGCTGCTCAGCTTACACAAGATCAAATCAAGTATGTCGCATGAGATGCTTATGTAAGCATGGCTATTTCTGAAAGCTTAATTGATTGTCCTTCAGTGCATAAAAAGATCAGCCCATCAACAGCAAAAAACACGCCTGTTTCGCTGTATACAAATTCATGCAAGGTCTCTCCATGTGCGTTTGGATATTTAGAGGATTTACCACAAGATATAAGCGTACTTCATCCTACAGCAAAGATATATCTTGAAAAAAATAAAACTGTTGTAGATGAGAGTCTGCAAGTTCTCATCAAAGATGTGCAAGTTAAGATACCTGGTACAGTAGTTCCAAATTACGAACTAAATCAACAAAGTATGTCTACGTCTCATCAAGCTATGCCAGTATGTTTGAAAGATTTTGGATCAACCCCTTTTCATGTTTTTGTGGATTGGAATTTGTTACGAACTGCGTCGAAACTCCAGTTATCAACCTTCGAAAATGCAGCAACTCACTTGATATCCCTGCCCACTCCGGTCAATGAAACTTCTGCAGACCAATCATCAGTACCGTCTCGGGTTTTGAAAGATGCATTCCACTTGATGGATATGCTGCAATTATCACAAAAGCATGGTATGTATAGAGAGTTTTACCAGCGTTTTTGAGATGCTTTATTTGTTTACGATCCAGTAGATAAAAAAATGTCAAAACTATTTGGAAACTATCAACACTGATTTCAAGGCATACATGGCAAGTCATCCAGTTTTTATTCTAAAGCGAGTCAAAAGAAGAATTCCTCCACCGAACCAACTATCACCTGCTATTAAGCTTGTCTTTGATCAGTATTGGTCTTTACCGTGTACCAAGACGGGATTCCGCTCTTCGACAAGGAATCTGTGAGAATATCCAAAAGTGTTTTAAGATCCATTGAGTTGGGTCATGTTTCTGATCTGATTGATGGCCCGCCATTGTACAGAGAAATTGGTAAAGATAATAATGGCTTAATGAAATATTCATGCTTCAGAGGTACCAGCTCCGTAGAAGGATACTATCAAAACATCATACGAAAATTCTCGTCCATCAACTCTGGTCCTCGTCTTGCCGATTCAGTTCTTGTATACTTTCGACTGTATCATAACATCAAGGTACTTTAATTGATAGATGTAAACCGAGAAATTGAGAAGGTGTGATTTATAAAAGTCATTATACAAGTCCATGGATGGATTACCCAATGCATGAATATGATGAGATTGTATGTTGGTCACCGTCCCGTTAAGAATTACTCGTTACATCATATCGAAAAACTATCCGCCGATTTTGTTGGAAAATAGGTGGAAACTTTTGGTATAATAGCACTTGAATATCCGTTTATTGATGCTTACAACATGCAGTCAATGGAAAGGGATGAGTTATCTCAACAACGATGTTCACTAATGCGATAAAAACTAAGATGCTTGAGCTGAGTTTTTTTGCCAAAATTTTGGAAAAGAAGGTTATTCGGCTCGCAACTTTTTGTACCGTTACTTAGTACAAAGACAACATACACTACATGCGGTAGTACCAATTCATACCAAAGAAGAAGTATTATCGTATAAAAAGTTACTGATTGACAAAAACAAGGAGCTTTTTTTTAATAGAGATAGTGTTACTCCAGACTTCGAGATGTTTGCGAAAATTTGGTCTGCATTTGCTGATGGTAACGAGAGTTACTGTAAGACGCCAGAGCACATCAAAATTTACTTCAACAAACGAACTGAGGCCAATGTTTTTAATGACTCAATTGCGCTCAATCAAAACATCCGCCAAAGTATTAGAAGCGTTTTGGGACGACCAGAAAGAATGCCTGAATCTGTAGCTACGTTGAGGCAACCCAGGCCAGTTAACCATTACGGAAACTTGCAAGTCGTTGTATCCGCAAGACCAACTAACTAACTGGTAAAACAGAAAAATCAGGTGCTAGGACCAGCTCCATTGGCTCCTAAATGTTTGCCAGTTTCAACACCGAGTTTATCTCCTCTACTCTTACCTCTTGTACCTTCGCCATCCATCAGCCCAACAACCGCAAATCCTGTCACTAAAAAACCAAAAAGATCAAACAGGATTTGCTTTGTTTGTAAAGACTCATCTTCTTGCAGCGGTCGATCAAGATCCAAGTATTGCGTCAATAGATGTGGCATTTGCTTAAAAGACAACTGTTCTGGGAGATACAAAATGTCCGTTTGTCAATTTCAATGAAAGAATAATTTTTATGCGAAACCCATCAATAAAAAAATAACACCTTGGCTTTAAATAATTTTATTGTAATGACTGCTAAAGAGCACAATTCAAACAAATACAGATTTTTTTTTGGGTGCCTTGTGGCACCCAAGAAAAAAGAATTAAATCATTTTTAACCACCAAGGGTAAAATTAGGCCTAAATTATGATCACGGACTTTGAAAATTTAAGGAATACGTATGCTGAAAAAAAAATGCGTCATCGTTTTAAGGTTCAAAGCCACAATAAAAGTTGTTAAAAAAATTTTTTCCAAAGACAAGGGCCTCAATACAGCTTTTATATCTACCAAGAATTTCCCAAGCTTATTTTCTGCATTTGTATCGTCATCCCATAAGAAATTCGTTTACGCTTACTCAAAAATGATTTAAGGTAAGAACACAAACCATTGAGAAAATTAGGAAACACGAACTAATTACCATCTGACCATAGAACATAACAAAAATATTTGAAAGAACACCCTCCATATATATGTATCAAAGCCTTTTATATGGAATTTTGGTTTCAACCCCAGGAAAAACGCTGAACAAAAGTTTAAGGAATGTATCCTTAAATTTAATAAAGTGCTTGACAAGGAGCTGCAAGACTTTATTGCTGAAGAGTTCGTAAATGACAACTATTTACAGTCTGTTTACAGCTATTTAGAGCTTAAAACAAGCTTGGCACGCTTACAACTGTCAGGTAGTTTTATTTATAAATGAATAATTTGGCAGTATTTAACGCGTTATTGGATTATTTTGATTAGTGTCTGGAGCTGTCCATGATGGATGATTATTGAATCACCTATTGTATTAGAATATAAATACATACGTGCCTCTACCTTCTTTATAGGCGTTCTCTTTGAATATAAATACATACTTGCCTCTACCTTCTTTATAGGCGTTCTCTTTGAATATAAATACATACTTGCCTCTACCTTCTTTATAGGCGTTCTCTTTGAATGTAAATACATACTTGCCTCTACCTTCTTTATAGGCGGACTAAAGAAGGTATTCTGGGACTCATCAAAATGGGCTCCTCAAGCCAGTTGCAAGGAGAATTAAAAAGGGAATCCACCTTCAACTGTTTCGTGTTGATTTCTAGAAAACAGAGTATTTGATAGTGTAAGATAATCAAAATATAATAATACCGTTATGATAGTACATACTAATTTGTTTTATAGCCTGACCATATTTGTATACATACAACATAGCCAGACATGATACTGTCCCATTTGTACTGCATTTCCCACCTCATTTTCCAATAAATGATTAATTTTTTTCAAAGTCAGACGCTAATTTTTCCAAATGTGGTTGATAATTTTTCCAAAAGGCTACAGCTAATTTTTCCAAAAAACGTTCACGCTAGAATGAGCATCGACAATCTTATGAGCCACATGTCCCTGGAAGAGGATGTGGATCTTACAAGTGAAGTGGCCTATGTTAATCTGTACCAATTGAATAGCACTTTAAAGAAAGGTGACATGGTCACGGCTATGGAGTGTGACGATGAGCTTGCTGAGGAGTTAGGCTTGATCGCTGATGACATCGTAACAGACGAGGAAGACGACGAAGGACAGAGTATCTACAAAGGGTTATTTAAATATAGGTATTGGGCCGTAACTCTCGCCAGAAGTCCAAAGTTCCTACTGCCCCAAAAAAGATTAAAACATCAACTCTTGAGCAATATATCGCGGCAATCACTGATCTTTACAAGACCCAAGTTCAAAAAAAGATTAATTGTAATGAGCATCCAAGAGCAACTGTTTTAGGCCTGATTAAAAGTTCAAAAATGAAAGAATTTGAAGTGTCTCGTGAAAACTGTGAGGATCGTGGAGAGGGAACTTTAGCTGATGGTTATACTTCTTTAGACCAAGTCTCAAAAATTGTTCAGTTTTATTTAAATGGACAACGAAACCACGGGGAGAATTTACGTGATGCATTGGCTTTTTTATTTTCTCACTACTTTTTGTTGAGAGGAGAATCGATTAGAAATGCCGAATTGACCGATTTCCAAACGATTAACTTGGATTCTGAAAGTGTTCGACCTGATATCAAGTGTCCTGCTTTAGTCATGATATTAAGACAAGGAAAAACAAACAAAAATAATCGTCTTGAACTGACAGGCTGTATCCGTAGCACCCAAGTAGAAATTTGCCCTATTATGATTTTTGGCTTGTATTTATTCTGGAGATTTCATGTTCAAAACGAGCCTTTTCCTGATTCCACAACTTCTGAAAATCGGTATAGAATCAAGTTATTCAAATCAAGTGACTCTGATACAACTAAAGTACTGGCTTATGCCAGCCACCGTGATGCAGTAGCCACATGATTAGAGAGGGTCCAAATATTGGCTAAGAAAAAGACACATATCAATCGTGGATCTGCAGCAAGAATGGCCGACTTAGCTGGAGTAAATGAAGACCAAAACAGGTGCTCAGGTCGATGGAACAACACAACCATGAACGGTGCTTATTTGACTGGATTACCAAGATAAGTAATGAGGGTGATGGCCGGATTCACTGTTCAGCAAGGTTCGTTAGAAACATATCTTTCTCTTTTTATAAAATTAACCAATTCAAATTCAGGACAATTTTGTTTACCAAGAGCTAGTGTTGATCCACCTGAATCTCTTTGCAAAATGATATTTCCTGATCTTGAGTTATGGCATGATAGATTGACAGCAAAGCAAGCAAACCCAAACAACACAGAAATGGAAGTAACAATTGCAGCAAAAAGCTTTTTTGAACTGTTGTTTGTGCTTAGAACAACTATTATCCAGGACGCAATCTTTTTGATGGAAAAGTTTCCTAACCATCCACTCTGGCAAAATAGTCTGTTTTCGCATGAAATGTTTACAGACTACAGGGAGTAAGTTCAGATTTATGCAATAATCAATATCATATAATGTACTCATAAAAAACGTTTGTCTACAGGCGCATGCTCATCGTCGCCCAAGAAGACAATGCTTCTGTAAATGCTTTGTTGTAATGCTGCGTGCTGAATTTAGAAGACAAAATTAAATGCATGCATCATGATCTTTCAACACGAATAGATACACAATCAGCATCTCAAGAAAAGATTATATACTATATTACCAGACTTGTTACAGGCCAAGCGAGTATAAGGCTGAGCATTAGTCTACCTGGAGGATCAGGGGAGGATCAGGGTAGAACAAATATCACTACAACAGCCATACCTCGACAAAGCGAACCCAATTCATTTTCTGGCAGTAATGCGACGGATCATTCATAGACGTTTCATGGCAATATCAACAGTAATGTTGTACCCTGTTATCGCATGAGTCGAGGAATTGTTTCCGTCAATAATTTGTGGCGTGAATCGACAGAGGGTCTATGTGGCGGTCATGCGATTAAGAATTTAGAGAGAGGATGGGGTGCCAGATGGAGAAATGGAGAAAAAGAAAATTTAACAAACGTCGATTGATAATAAACGAAATTGAACGATATGACAGTCAGAACAATATTACCACCAGAACAGCAGTAGACATTGCAGAAAGAAGGAGATCTCAAAAAGGGTATTCATTACACTGCCTGTCCAAAAAAATCAACAAGATATACGAAACAGAAGGCAGTGCTGACCCAAGTCAAATGTTAGAGTAACTTTTTTTTTTGTCCCATATAATAAAATACATATTTCTCTATTTTTCTGTTTTCGTCATTGCCAAATGCTTAAAGCATGTCAACATTACTATTCCCACCAACAGTTTATAACAAAGAAAATAACAAAATATCACTTTGGGATAACATAATATTCAAATAATTATATCAAGTTACCAGGTCACATTCTGGGGACTTGATCCGTAGTAAATGGAAGACTTCCAAAACTACAAAATTTAATTTTTAACCGGGATTTAAATATTTTCTTCTTTTTTTGGATTCGTGTAACCATTTTTTAACTTGATTTTAATTTAAAAATTTACAGCAAAAGTTTATTGAGGCCTCCCCCCCCCCTCTACTAAGGTCAAATTTTAACTTTTTCAACTTTTTATTTTTTTTCTTTGGCGCTTATTCTGTTCATTACCCTCAGAAGAATGGCTTTCTTCAATGGGACTTATCTAAGCATAAAACAATTAGGAACTTTGCCATACAAAGAATGAGTGCTTTTATCGTTGTTACCTTCGCAATTTGTGCAGTTTAACTAAAATTAATTTTTGTCTAAACGTTTTGGAAGCCTTAACGATTTTAATCGGAAAATGCTTTAAGCGAAGTTTAAATTAAAATTAAAATCAAGGGAAAAAAGTTTTGGAAGTCTTCCAATATCTAACTATTTATATATTAAAAAATTAATGCCAATCCAGGGAGAAATTTAAAGATTATGGCAATATACAAGAAACTTCGAAAACAATATTGAAGATTCGCCATGCAAAAATCCACTCGTTGATCTTAATGACTATGAAAAAGGAGCCGCTAGACTTATAGAACTATATTAGCTACCTTCGCCTTTAGCAAAAGATTGGAGAAGGAGAACAGCAGATGATTTGTCTAGTTTTGTTGGAGATCTAGCGTTATTCCTATGGAAATTAACGATGATGAAGATTCGGGAGATTCAGACAATGATGCGTATTATAACGAAGAGTAACTATATCGCCCATTCATTTATATTTTTGAACTCTATGCTTCTTAATTTTTTTATGTTAAATTTTTTTATGCTTATGTTAAAATTCTATGCTACTGCCACTTTTATTTTACTCTCTTTTATTTGCTATGCCATTTTCTGAATGTATGCCGTTCTCTGACTACTTACACCTTTATAATATACATTAAATAAGCACGCACTCAAAGTAAATTTTTAATCATATATTGATTGACTTTGGTCCCATAACTTATGTAGTAGTAGGAATTTAAAATCGGGACAAATAGCATATTACTGCTTCAATAAACATTTTGTTATAAAGTAAATGATCAACTACTTTAAAAATCTAAATTATTACACCCATCTACTCAGGCATACTGAGGGTATTAGGTAGAAACTCAAGGTTATGATAGTACTATATTCTATTTAGTATGTCCGCCATAAATGTATTCCATTACTCATTGCCACTTTTTTTTTTTTTGCAAATAAATTCAATTGTTCAAGTGAATATTATATGAAATTGAGATTGTGATGAAAATACTATTAATTTAATTACGTATGTCTTATACAAAGTAGTAGCTTCTATTTACAAAACCATCCTTCTGAGTTCGTTTTAAAATAAAGAAGAAAAAGCATCTCTTTTAAATCTATTCGCGGTAATATACAACACCCTAAAATAAATCAGTGATCAAAATGTTTTTTTTTATCGATATTGGCGATATCGCTCAAAAAATCGAAAATATCGATATCTCCGATATGTTCGATTTTTTGAGCGCTGATCGCAAAGGCCAAATTTTCAAATCTCTATAAAAACAACCTATACATAAATAAATAGATGTAGAAATACCATGTCAAAAGATAAACGTGATTTATTAAAGAGAAAAAAAATTTATGGCGATGATAGCCAGGGTAAGAAAAAGACAACTTCAGATTACGTAGTAAAATGAGAAAAAGGGATTTGTGGCTGTGGGTTTTAATAATTTTGTATGTTTCCAACACTCCCAGCATTACTACAGTGCATCTATTTTATAATGAACAATTTTCGTTAAAACGGACATTTTCAGAACTTAAAGGTCCGTTTTTTACACTGGATTTTTTGACAGAGGAATCTAATTTATCCCGGGAAAACGTTTAACCGGGATATGTCTGATTAATTTTTATGAATTTTTGCACTGTAAAACACCTCCCGGACATCTTTGGGTCTCGCCACTGTAAATGGCAAATTTTGTTTTGCCATCTGTAAAAAATTTTGTGTGAAAAGAAACAAATCGGGCTCTATTAGTTTATGAAGAACTCTCTAATAAAGAACATAATAGAGCCAGATTTTTGATACATGTTAAATTCAACTAGGAGATAGCGTTTTTCTTTTTTTTAAAAAATTGGAGCCAAAAATTGTTCATTATAAAATAGATGCACTGTACTCATATCAACTTTGAAAGCGTCACCAGTTTTTATGACATATTTATTGTTAGACACAAGGTCCTTAGTATCGAAGATGACAATTCTTTTTTGCTCTGCCTCATCGTAGGGTTTCATGCGCGGGATGGCCTTTGAATAAGGGGAGACGTCATGATTCTTTATAAGTTCACCAAAAACGAAGTTCGAGCCCGGAGTACCTTCTTGATATGTAAAGTCAAAAAAGAACAAACCTTTACACACTTACCAGTTTTCGACAGGCCGAGGTGTCCTAAATACTTTAAGTGAGTACACATGAATTTAGATTTGCAAAAAAAACAGGAGAGTGTCTTGAACCTGTCTTTTACAAGACTGATGAAATAGTTGCTGTAAAAATAATAGACCCGTACGGCGTTGCCAAAAATAAACAAGCTTTGTTTTTTAAACCTTTTCATTATTACTCTTTTTCCCCTTTTCTTTTTCTTCCAGGTTAATGTATGTATATGCGAATAGTTAGTGGTATCTGATTCATCATAACCATTTTTAAATAAATTTAGATTTAGTTATATGATTAATAATAAACGTGTTACAACTTTCATAATATTATCTGTGCGTCAATACTATTTATTTGAAATGAATAAAAGAAAAATAAATGACATAGGGGGTTCATGCTTGTGTAAAAGAAGGACAAGAGAACCGAGTGATAACGTTTAATTATTAACCAGTAGTTTGAAACAACCTAATGGAAAACCATTTCTTTTGGTCTGTGTTGAAACAATTTGTTCGAATTGCAGGGTGTCCACTGTATTTTATGAAGGTTTGCATCTCTGGATATCTGACACTTCTCCTTCAATTTCGGTAATTGGGACACATTTTCCTGTCCAGATTTTAAATTTAGCAATACCTTGAGAGATCAAGATTTTGATGCCTTCGACAAGACCAGCCTTTACGCTCAGTTAGCCAAAGCAACTTTGTACAATAAGACTTGTAAGCCATGTCACAAATAGTACCCTTGATATCTCCGTGCAAAAGTTCGGGTAACTGTCCGGCAGCAACCATATTGATAGCAATAAGATCTTTACCACCCTTCTTGGAAGCGCAGAATGTTTCAAGTGCCATATTGTCTTGGAAACTTTGAGTATTGCCAACAAGTTTAATGATATCACCGTATTTTCCACACGCGTCATACTTGAGTTGATTGGCCTTACCATCTCAAGGTGTAACGTTCTGAACATCGTGCCAAGGAGAAATAATGAGACTTTCGCCCTTGGAGGGCACATGCCATTCAATATTGATAGGACTCCAACATATTCACAACCCCAACGTTGACCCCAAGTGAGTGATTCGAACATACCCTCTTCATCATTATCGGGGGAGGCACCTGCTTGACCCTTCGATCTCATAGTGTAAATAACAGGAATCAACACCATTCTACGCAAGAGAGATGTTCATCGACATATTCAAATCAGGCTTTTGTAAAAGATCCACGCGCAGTTCAACAGCATCAGTACCTTCACAGATCTCTTCGAGGTTTTCGAGAACAGAGTTGAGGTCCTTGGAAGTCGATGATTTAAAGGTTGCGGGTACTCCGACACGACCGACAGTAGTATTTACTTGGTTGGTATCACGACCGCTGATGAAGAAAAGGAATATCTGGAGATCCTTTTTAATGGCTAACCACCCGGTAGGGGAGACGTAACCGTCATCCACGATGATATTCACATAGGCAACGAATTCAAAGTTACAAACCTCCTTATACCAAGTACGACGACGTCACCAAACTTTTATCATATCCTCACCATACATGGGACATGTCTTAACACGATTTAAATAATGAACAACTTGACCCAGATCACTCACCAAATGCAACACTTTACTACCGATCTTAGTATGCTCCTTTAAGATATCACCGGATTCAGCACTTTCAATAATATCACCACCACAAGAAGTAACATATTCACGACCAAAATGAGTCCTTTCCTAACAATTGTTCATACATCCCGACTCCCTGATGCGGAATTGGTCCCAACCTCAAGTACTGACAAAGTCAAATACGGTAGTCTTTAAAGTTTCTTCAAAGTAAATTTCTCCGCATTGATGAACTTGAACCCCAATACTTCAGCGGCTTCTTGTCTAAGGGTGGTCTTTCCAACACCATGTATTTACCAGCGTCCATATTTTTGGTTGCTTTGGCATGGATACAACCCAGACTCTTTTCGGTTTGTGAAAATTTAATGCCGAGATCCACACCGTTTGAACGAATCAGTTTGAAATGGTCGTGGTGGTCCTTTACTTTGGTGACCGTGGCAGCTTTACTGACATCAATGTTGGATACATCGATAAATGAACTTTTGTGATAAAAGCCAATACGATAATCGAGCTTAAAGTTATCCATTTTAGTTTCCCCGCTAAAAAATTAAAAAATGTTATTCTTCAGTTCAGCATAAAAATCTAAATTTATTTACCTTCTGATTTTTATGTCGATTCGGTCTGAGAAGAGTAACTCCAAAAGTCGGGCATAGATCTTATGGTCAAAATTCTTTTCACTTAAGTGCCTTTGTTCTTCAATGTTAAAAATGTGACTATTGATTTGATAGGCTTCAATCCTAATAATGATAGGTGAAATTGTTATACTTTTGGATACTTTTTATGATTAAGGTAGCATAAATTTGCACACTTACAAATGGGACAGTATTTTAAAAAAAAACAAGTCCTCAGATGATGCGTTCATCTGGTAGTCAAGAGTTTTGCGATATTGGATATTGATGTGATCCGACTAAAAAAAATTAGTATGCGCTATTATAGTCTGCACTATCATACTTTGATTATCTTACATTTTTAAAGGTTTTTAAAATTGCCTTCTTAAATTCATCTTTTAATTCATACGAAGCACTTAATACCTCTACACCTTGACTATCATTCCAAACAATGACATGAGATTGTCCTGATGGGCCTGTATTACTGAAATCTACTATTCCTTCTTTATCAACTCTATAAAGATGGTTATGATAAGTATTTATACTCAAGAAGAATATCAAATGCAAACATACGAAGATGACAACTTTTTGTCTTTGGTGCTCTTAACATTGGTAAAAAAAAAAGTAAACTAGTTAGTACTGTCATGCCGAAATAAAGTCGAGAAATATCAATAAAAACCTTTTTGGGCTGAGAAGCCTTGGCCGCACTCGTCTCCCCTTTTCGTTTCAAGATGGATACTTCATTGGTTTGTCGCTGTGTGGTGAGCCAATAATCATCCATGATAGACGTGACCAGACACTAATCATTTACAACTAAAACTACCTGGAAGTTGTCATTTAAGAGCTCTTCAGTAATTAAGTCTTGCAGCTCCTTGTCAAGCATTTTACTTACTTAGTTTGATGATGGATTCCTTAAACTTCTGTTCGGCATTTTTCCTAGACTTGAAACCAAAATATATATAAAAGGCTTTGATACATATATATGGAAGGTGTTCTTTCAAATATTTTTGTTATGTTCTATGGTCAGATGGTAATTAGTTCATGTTTCCTAATTTTCTCAATGGTTTGTGTTCTTACGTTAAATCATTTTTTAGTTAGCGTAAACGAATTTCTTATGGAATGACGATAAAAAGGCAGAAAATAAGCTTGGGAGATTCTTGGTAGATATAAAAGCTATATTGAGGCCCTTGTCTTTGGTGAGAAATATAAACAAGAAAGAAAAAAAAATTTTAACAACTTTTATTGTGGCTGTGAACCTTAAAATGATGACGCAGTTTTTTTTTTCAGCATACGTATTCCTTAAATTTTCAAAGTCCGTAATAATGAACAGTCTGGGGTTATTTTTAAAGCACTGTTTTTGTTGGACATGATATTTTTTAGCCCTTTTCCCTTATGCTTTCTAACTCCGTAAACAACATGAAGAACGCCACACCCAAGGCTAATCGGCATTTTTCTAATCCGATGTGAGACAATTTTTTTCTTGGAATCACATGAGCTTAAATTTTATTGAATAAATGTGCTTAAGACGTAATGTATAACGGGTCATGGTAGCTTTTGAACGATATATATCTACCACCTTCTTGATCAGTAAAATTAGTAAATATGTTGTCGATGAATGTGCCATTATTTGTTGTAGATTTCATATCATCTGGCATGGCTGTGTGCATAATAATGTATTTATCAAGAAGTTGTAATAATTTTGTTCTTGCTAAAGATTTGATATTAAAATCCGCATTAAAATCACCAGCTAAATTATTCTTTCATTGTCCGTGATACATGATCCTATAATTGGAAGAGCATCGCCTAATTTGAATTTAGGGAATATGTAAACTGATGGAACAAGCAATGTCGGAGAACTAAATCCCACTATAGATATACTCCCTTCACTGGATGCATTCAATAACTGTATTTTTTTAAATGTTGTGGACTGATTTAATTTATCATTTATAAGACACATTGCCCCATAAGCTCGAGAAATTTCAGTAAATCCAGGAATATCAAAAATTTGGTTCTGAGTGGTCCAAGTTTCAGATAATAAAATATAATCTGATGCCATATATATTGCATCGTTAATTATTTGGTCGGCATGAGCATTTAGGCTTTGAGCATTGTGGGAAATAACTTGAATAACTATTTGTGCGCGGTGAGTGTAAAGAGCTGAACTTTGGTTTCAGTAGTACAGTTTTAAGTCGTGATAATTCTATTTAGATATATCATCTGTTGGTGCTGGTGGTGTGATAGGTACAAATCTCTTTGCGACTATAAAAAGACCGGGTGCAGTGGTTGCTCTTGAACGTGCCACGTATATTTTAGATCTTTCAAGAATTTGTGACCTTGTCCTGCTTAAATCTAATAACACATTAGGATAAGTACCCCCCTTGACTTTTGTGAACCGTTAAGGCTTTCGCTACAACTACTGGAAACTATGTTCTTTAGATTCTTACGACAGGAGATTTACAGAAAAATTACCAGCTTTTCTCTGTTTTTTACCGAAACTTTCATCTTCCATCAATAGCCATAAGCGAAGTGGTTTTTGCAAAGATGACGATGTTGATTTATTGGATGATCTAAAGTCTACTTGTTTTAAAATACCAGATGTTCCATTGACTAAACCGTTGGATGTATCAACATTGATGGTTACCATATATCGCGCTCCAATTCGTAAGTTTTGGCAGTATGATAAACCACCTGTTTTGTTGTGTGGTACAGCCTTTAGTTTTTCAAGTAAGGTCTCCTTGGGAATGGTGTTCGATTTGTCTCTTGTACCATTATCATAACATACTGATTCATGTACCTCTGTCGTCATGCCACTTAAAACAGCCTCATTACATTGAGATACTTCATTGTTGGTCAAGTATAGACGGATAATTTCTTTTCCATCAACCTTGGCTTCATCCGGTATTGAAGAAAATGTGCGGCTGGAGAAAAATTCGATATCTTCCGCAGTCATAGTTCCACTGGCCATGTTGTTTAGAGCTATGGCAAATCTGGCGTCATCTTTTGGCCGCATTATTTGAGTCAAGTAGTGAACTTTAAACGAATGCTGTGACTCTTGAGACCTTAATCATGTACCAAAAAAAAAAACGGCATATGTCTTCCTCCGAATGGTCTATCACGACCAAATATGTCTCTTAGACGTTTATCAATCCAAAGAAGATGTCTGGTACTAACAAGGCTAATTTCATCAATGATCACTACTTTTAATTCTGCCAATGCAACAGTCATAGTATTTGAGACATCTGATGAAAGTTCATGTATAGCGTTGTTATTGTTCGGAAAGTGAAACGCGGTATGTAGTGTTTGGCCATAAATGTTAAATGCTTTACCGGTAAACGCAGTAAGTAATACTGAATTACTTGTTAAATCCCTATCTCGATCTACATCATAATGTCTGATGAGAGATTGGAAAAGGGTATTAATAAGAAGGCTTTTGCCGGTACCGGCACCACCTGTTACAAACAAGCGAAGAGGAACCTCATCACAATTTTCATGCCGTACATGGTTCATTACATGTGTTAAGCAATCTCTTTGCTCCACGTTCAGCTTTGATAGCAGTGACTCGTAATCCAGATTGGCAATTCTATCGGGTCGTGTGTATCGTGATGCTGGAGTTGAGGAAGGTGTTGTACTGCTAGACGAGGCTCGCTGAGTAAAACCATTTTGTTGCGCCAGAGTGTTTCCATAACCATTGATTTCGTCGTTAATATCTACAGAGATATCACCTGGTAACGCATACATTCGAAAATCGTTTTCAGAACCACTGTTGATGTAATCTGAGTTTTCATCTCCTGCGTTATTTTCATCCTCTTCGTTATTTTGATCCATAGCAGCTTCGGCAAACATTGCTAATGCATCTTCGTCTAGCACACTGAATTCTCTATGTTTAGATAACAGAGTATTAAAGTTTTTAAAGTATACATCAAGAATATCGATTTCATTAAGGTCTTTTGTCTGGTCCATCCAAGGGTGATACAGCATGATCATATGGTATGCAAACTCATAACTGTTTTTCATTGAATCTGGTTTAACATTTAGTAAGTTGTTCTTAACATTTAGTAAGTTGTTCTTAACCTTCCTGCTTGCAAAATCACCTTTTATAGATTTTTGTACTTCCGAAGGAAGTACTAGTCCTTTTTTAAGCTTTGTATACCTTCTATCTATGTCGAGTAAATTTTAAAGAAAAATAAAAAGTTGGAGTAAAGCCCCAGTTTTTACAGGATTCACCTGTAACTAAAACTATGGCCTTTTCAGAACATGATACGCAATGACACTTAATATTATCTTAATCCCAGGGTGTCAACATTTACTCGCCGTATATGGTCATCTGTATACCTTCTATATACGGCGACCAAATTTCAATGTTTTGGTATATATCAACAGTTTTTGACTTACATACTTTGGGATTTTTACCAGGTCTTATTGATGCTTTCTTAAAGATATAGGCAAAGTTTCAGCTCAATACAAAGATCAAAAATGAGTTCGTTAACTCGACATATATGGAAATGTTTTGTGTACCCATTTATATCGCACAGCAAAGAAGAACAAGTATACGAAATGTTTCTAACATTTCTGGAAAGTTAATATCTTCAATCGTAATACAACAACAAAAAATGTTCTGCATTATGAAATTCAGAAATTCAGAAATAAAAAAGGAAGACAATTTATTGTACACGCCTTGTAACAATGGTTATTAAATACAGTATTATTCTATTATGTTAATCTTTAACTTGGTCCATGTCTGGCTTTTTTTTAAGCCATTGATGCTTTTACAGTGGATTCAAGTTTTGTAAAAAAAAAAAATTTGTACAAACTTCAACACGTTTTCAGCGAGTTAAACCATTTCTACCCTGTCCACGAGGAAAAAATAACAGGAATTGCCAACTACAAAGCTCTAGTTATAGCAAAGTTTGATAAGTAAACATCTTCTATTCAATTAAGCTTTTGAATTTTTATAAACGCATATTCTTGTTTTAGTTTGTTTTTTAACATATAAAACTATATAAACCAACATACTAAATTGATACATCAAGATAGAAGCAATAATAGTCAGACTGAGTTTTAGCATTTCAAAATAATATCTCTGCCAGATAAACCAACACATAGAACGGATTCTACAATACTAAATGTATACACGTTGCAATGTTTTGCATACAGGAAATAACAGCATTACGTACGGCTTCTATAACAGCTACTGCATGTAAAAATGTTGTTTTTTGTTATCGGGTGAAACCTGACGTGAGATAGTTAATTAGAACATCCAATGACACGAAGCAAAAAGTTAACAATTTATTCTACAGATAGTCACTGTTGATATGGCTTATGTTAACATAGTAACTTATTAAAGTGCCTGTTAATGTGTAAAAGAATTCGAATTAACGTCTCTTTGGCACTTTTCTCAAATTAAATTACATAAGTAAGGGAAACAAACTAATACAAAAACTAAGAGAAGTTAATTACATTACTGGAAAAAAAAGTAGCGGCCTAGAGGCAAATATGATAAAGTTCCTTTCAAAAGAATAAAAATATATGTCTAATAAAGGTAACTAGTATCACCACGGATAACAGGCAACTCAGCTCTTAATCCAAAATTCGCAAAAAACTCATGACGACAAAACACTCAAGCCTTAATGTGCAAAACACACCTGAAGTTGAGCAAGTACAGCACCTAATTCAAATCGAGTGCAATCAACTATTTAAAATTGAAGAATAGTAGGAAAATCATTAAAAATAAAAGCGCCAATAGCTCGTACTAGTTGTCATTATCGAACATCATAACTATTA